ACTATCCCCATGCAACCATATCATATTTTCTTAGCACAGTACCTACCAAACAAACAAACAAACAGTTAGTCTCATTACTGGATACCTGTAGGTATCTAACTACCAGTTATGGTTGAAGGTAACAGAGCTGTGATGTGATGATGCTCATTAGGGCTTTTCCCTGACACTTCAGCTGCACAGTTGTGACAGCATTGGGAAGGATGCAAGTCTCCAAGGGCCCCTGCCTTCCCCGACTCTTGCCTGTCTCCACGTAGGGATAGTCTATGAGTCTTAGAATTATTTAGACTCAGGTTAAAATTTGCATTGCAGTAGTCACCTCCGTAAATAAGCATCACAATGCAGAGTGTTGCAAGGCTCTGGAGAGTTGGGGGGTTGGTGCAAAAATACTATCTCAAACCTAATGGCCCTCAGGACCATGTCCATTGGCCATCAAGAGGCTTAGTAAGTTTTTTTTGATTAATGATTATATATTTGCTTACAGCTCTGCAACCTGAGCTGGGTTTAGCTGACTGTTTCTTCTATGGGTCCCATGGTTCCATAGCAACTTCCTCTCCCCATGCTTTTATTTTTCTCACCGGGTGGGACTGCTCTGCACTGAAAAATTCAAGATGGCTTCTCCACTATGTCAGACATCTGGCAAAACTGGATGGGATAGCTAGGGCCCATGTTCCTAGAATCAGCCTGTATTGGGAAGCCTCCTCTCTGTCCCTCCGTGCACAGTGCCCACCCCTTATTTTCTTTTTGGTTACAGCTAGCATTGGCTAGTACTATGCCTTCCCTTCCTTCACACAGCTTTCCTGGCTCTGTGAGGCAAGGAGGAAATGAGGTTCAATCTTGTACATGGAGGGGTTGGTAGACTATGGCACCTTGGGAGGCCTTCCATCCGTGAGACCAAAGGAGCAAGCAACTTTCACAAAGTGCACTTATTTCTGAGTGGCCAGGCACAAGGAGTACGGCCAACCCCTTACAAAACAGTGGCTTTGGCCTTAAGACAGGAATGCCACTAGCGAGGACTCCTGCTTGACAACCCTATGTAGTTGGATGCTTTCCTGTCTCATCTGGTCCTACTGGTCCAGTTTTCTCCTGCCTACCAGGTCCCCACACATGCTTGTGAAATAACATTCTAAGGCTTAATATTAATATCTGTTTGGCCAAAGGCTCAGACCTATTACTGACTAGCTCTCTCTTATAAATTAACCCATTTCTATTAATCTATGTATTGCCATGAGGCTGTGGCTTACTGGTAATGCTCTGGAATGTTACTCCTTTGGCAACTACATGGCATCTCCTTGTCTCCACCTTCCTTCTCTCTGCATCTTTGTTTGGATCTCCCAATACAGAACATCCCACATCAACCCTAGGTGGCTAGCATACATCTGGATAAGAGCTCACTGCTTGTCAATCATCTTCCCTGACTTTAAAAAGAGACAGTTCCTTTCCTTGATAAAGTGGAGAGGACAATCCTGCACACAGATCTGATTAGACTGAAAAGTCATAGAATGGTGGGAGCTTTGAGAAGGAAGTTTCTAGAAGCGAGTGGCGCATAGGGCATCATCTATGGTTGGGGCTCAGGCAGCATAGAAGTCATGGAGGGTGGAGTCCTCCCCAAACCTCCACCATAGATAGCTATGTGAGGGCTGCAGAAAAGACATGTAGGCCTCTGCAGCACATGTGCTGACCTTGCTGGGCTTGACCTGGCCACTAGGAGGTCAGGTGCCCTCATGGCGAGGAACCAATCAGAAGTTAGCTGGCGGGGCTGTGTCTCACATCTCTGGGTGTGCCCTACTTACAAGTGCACAACAGTGAAGTGTAGAGCACAGCAACCTCCCTGGGAGGGCCTATGGGCCATAACAGCCAGTTGACCAATCAACACAGGGCAGGTGGTCCAAGCCCGGAAGCGCACCAGTCCTGAGACTGTTGCATACCCCTAGACACTCCCCTTATGCTATCCACTATCATCCCCCTCACCCCTCAGCCTCGTGGTTCCCCTGGGTCTTTATCTGCCTTGGTGAATGCATGAAAGGCCCAAGCTAATGGGGTTAGCTCTTTAATCAACACCAGTAAGAGACTCTTCGCTTTTGCATCGAAATGGGTCTCTCGGTGATTTGGGGGGTTTCAGAATTTGGGCACAACAGGTGGGTTCCTGTCCTGTTTTCTGTGGGAAAGGCTTGGACCTGTGGCTGTCACCTGGATCCTGGGTGCAAACAAGCATGCCTGGGGTGGAGGGTCTCCTCTGATGCCCTCATTATCGCCTCCCCCACATTTCCTTTACCTTTTCATTCCAAGCACACACCTAGGTCTGGATCTCCACCTGGAGTGACCACAGGAAAAAAGTTTAGGACTACACCCACTTGCCAAAGTTTCTTTTTTACTTTGATTCCTACACTGATTTCAATTCATGAAACTTCACAACTGAGGTCCTGATGCTGTCTTGATGAAGTGGGTGTCTCCCTTTCTGATCTTCAGGCACTCTCTAAGCCACAGGCTGCAGTGCTTTTCTGCCCCCGCAAAGCACCCCAAAGCCCTCTAGGCCTCTTGGAAACACTTGATTCCATAAAGTTTTAAACCTGCAATTGCCAGGGAGCCCTAGGTTTTTGGTGGATTACAGCCCTTGTGTTTCTTATCGGTTGCTGAATTCCATGCAATCCTCTGTGGAAACCTTTTGCCTAGTGTGCTCTAGAGGCATTCACAGGCCCAGCTGTAAAGCAGGAGCCCAGAAGAGCCCCCAGGGGAGGCTGCCGACAGAGCCCAGCTTCTGACCAGCAATGCTATTTTAATTATTGCAAATCCGTCATGGCTGCCAGGCCCTCACTTTCATTCCTGTTATTAACTGGGAACCTTGCCGGCCAGAGGCTTTTTTTCAAGTGGAAGTCTGTGGACTTTGATTCTCTTAGGGGGCACGTCCAGCCGAGGTGGACACAGGTGGGCCAACGCGGCAGTGTATTTACTTTCGGGAGAGCATGGAAGTGTGCTGTGAAGGAGGGAGGAGGCATGAGCGTGGATCTGGTTGGGTTCCAGGTCAGTTATGTATGCACCCTCTGAGGTCTGCAAATAAACCTTCTTCCTTTTGCCCAGAGGACCCTGCTAGCCTTTGCCAGGCTGTGAAAACTGGCAAGGCAAGTGAGACAGAGTAAGCATTTGTTTTCTGGTAAGTCAGGCCTCTTGTCCTGCCTGCACCCTTGGCCTCGTTTGGATCAAGGTTGCCGCACAGGATGCAGCGTGAGGGGTGGCATCTAAACTTTCTCCAGGTGTTGGTTTACCCTTACATTTTGGGTAGCACTTTTGAGTTTCCAAAACTGGTTCTCACATATTCAGTATCTCATCGGATTTCCTCAGGGTGCAAGGAGGGCTCCCCTTTCACAGTGAAAAATTTCCAAAGCTCAGACAGAGTCCTAAGCAAAGCTGGCTAGTTTTGCAGGAGTGGAGAAACAGGGAACCAGGACTTCTACTCCTTAGTTGGAAGACTTTCTGCGCCCAAGCAGACTTTGTAATGTCTCCCTGCTAACCCCAAGAACCTTGTTGGGTAATGGGAACAGTTATCCATGTTGTTATCTCTTTGTAGAAGAAAGCTGGTGAGGGGCAGGGGCAGAGGTGAGGTAGCTGGGTTTTCCTCCCACCCTTGCTGCCGGTGTTCCCAAGGGGAAACATAGAGGTGACATTCAGCTGTTAGGTTAGTACCACAAACATCCAGGGCCAGAGAGATTGCTCTGTAGTTAGGAGCACTTTTTGTTCTTGCATAGGACCCGAGTTCAGTTCCCAGCACCCACATGGTGGCTAGTTATTAATCTCAGTCAGGTACATACAAGCATTCAGTTACAGCCTTAAGTGCAGTGACAGCTGCCCCCTGAAGGACAGAATGGGGCAAATCTGAGAAGTCCCTGTCCGTTTCCCTCCAGGGCTTGCCAGAAAAAAAAAGGGGCTTTCGTGGTATGTTGGGATTCTCATTTTCAGAAAGCAGATTATTTGTGCTGTGCCTGGGAATGTTCAAATGCCTCCCTCCTGACTCCATCTGCTTAGACACAAATTAAGTCTAAGGGCCAAGCAAGGTATGTTATGCTACTGTTTAAAAAGGAGCAGCAAGCCTTATTTAATTTTTAACGTCTTCCTTCAAAATATGAGTTAATTGCTGCCCAGTGGCACGTGCAAACATTTCGATGCTGAGAACTGAGAATGCTATCCTGACGAGAGAGATGAGATGTTGCATCACAGAGGTCACTCTGCACAGCTCTGCTTGACCAAGGCCACACTGACCATGATCTCTGAAGCCTTACAGCATTGAGTTGTCAAAGCAACAAACAGAAGCTTATTTGCTTGTCGTTCTTATTCTATCTTTAGTATTAGTCAAGGTCATGAGTTGTATGAAAAATATATAATTTAATTCTCAAATAACTCTTTCTTGTTCCTAAATACATTGTCAAAAGAATTGAAGCTAATATATTTTGCAGCAGACAGAGAACACAACTTTCTGAAATGAAGGCAGAGCTGTCACCCTTGTATAAAAATCCAGTGTCCCAGAGCAGAGAAGGAGAAAGCAAGAGCAAGCATACAGGAAATCAGCAAAATGTTGCTGGAGAGTCGATCTCGTTTTGGCAAATTCGACATCAGTGATATGTGGCTGGGCAACTTATATTGTCGTCTCTCACAACTGTCCCCTGGGTAAAGGTGGGCTCACTCAGCTTAGCAGAAGCAACACTCAGTCCAGCAACGCAGGAGGGGCAAAAGATAAGTTGTAGGCCACTGTCCAGATTCCTAGCCAGCACAAGGGAGAGGCTTTCAAGACGTCCTCTCACAGATATACTGGAAAATGGTTCACTGTTCTGGAGTTTCTCTTTCCTCCCCACCAAGGGGATGAGGGAAATTCACTTGGACTAGGCCACAGGATAGTTTTCTACTCTCCTGTCCACAATTTGAGTTTGTCTTAGAAATTCAAACGCAGGTCAGAAGTCACTTCATAGGTGTGGACTGGCCACTCCGCAGAAGCATCTTAGGCTTTGCTTGTATAGCATTGTGAAAAATACTTTAATAAATAAAGTTACTCTTCATTTACCACCCCACCCCAACCCCTGGCATGGCCAAGATGTTCCAGAATACACTTGGGTATCATTCCATGGTCATGGACTCTGAAGATTCCAGAGCACTGGCTGGGCAGGGACTGTAGTCAGTCAGTCTCAGGTGGCTGCTGTCCACGTACCAGCGAGTCCTTCCGGGTAGTAAGGCCTCAGTCACTGCAGGCAAAGGTGGCTTTTCTCAGCTGCCCTGTGACAACTGGGTTTCACATTTCCTGAAACTAGATCTGTGGAAGGAGTCCCTGAAATTAAGGAGAGAGAGCTCACAGGATTAATTAGCCTTAAAAAAGGGAAAAGGGGGGATATTAAGATATTGGTCCTGGGAAATTTAGTAAATAAAAAGAGGATCTGGGATCCATTCACACTGCACACACACACACACACACACACACACACACACACACACACGCATGCACACCGCGTGCACACACATAAGCATACACACCAGTTACATTGTGTAGCCTTGGGAATACATTGGTACAAGGCCAATAACTAGGTGCTGGGAGAGGTCAGGGGAAGGTTGGCTGGCTGGAGGCCTGACTCCAGGCCCCTAGTTCACTGTGAGGGTCTCTGCTTTCTGCCAGGAGCAGGTGAACAAGCTGGATTTGTGGCATGGCAGTGACCTCTGATGCCCGGGAAGAGGCCACTCTGGCCCCTCCTTACCTCTTTTGACTGTCGATTCTGAATATGGGCTTGTAGAGCTCCGGGATTTTCCGCTCAATCATGGGCCTGAGGCTGTCCTTCAGCCTGCTGTAGTTCTTCTTGAGTTCCTGCTGGTACTCCCGCTGCTCTGCTGTGATAAGCCGCCTGTTCTTCTCCACGGCCTCACCACATCTGCGGTGGAGAAAGCAGGTGGTGTGTCCTCAGTTTTGTATTTTAGTGACTTGGAGGAGGGCAGCAGCATGTCAGCATTGTGAAAAATACTCTGCTGTTGTCTGCATCTAAAATGTTTCCTTAAGGCCTGCTGCTCATACACTGGTTATCAGCTGACAGGCTCTGTGGATGTGATTGGATCATGGGGTGTTGGAGCTCATCCGTGGACTAGTCCGTCTAAAGAGTCATCCTCGGATGGGCAATTGGGAGAAACAGGAAGTAGCATCTCAATGAAGGGAGTAGGTGGGTCCTTGAAGGAATGACCTTGGGAGGAGGTCTTGTCTGTAGCCTCATCATCCCTTTTCTTTGCTTCCTGGCTACTGTGAGATGAACAGCCTCCTCCAAAACATGTCCAATCCCCATGATGTTCTGCCTTTGTATAGGTCAAAGTAACAGACCCAGTTAATCACAGACTGAAACCCCAGAAACCGTGAGCTAAATAAATCTTTATTTCTGGAAAGTATTTTTTTTTTTTTTTGGTCACCATGATGTAAAGTTTAAAAGCGCAACCTCTAATGTGTGTGTGTGTGTGTGTGTGTGTGTGTGTGTGGTGTATGTAAATGTGTGTGATGTGTACATGCCTATGTTAGCACTCAGAGGTCAAAGGAGGACATTGGGTAGCCTCCTCCATCACTATCTTCCTTATCCCTTTGAGGCAAGGTCTCTTCCTGAATCTAGGGCTTATGATGTTTTACCTTGGCAGCACAGTAAACTATAGCGATAGCAATCCTCCAGTCTCCCCTTATCCTTTCATTGCTGGAGTTATGGGAAGGTGTGAAATCATGCCCTGCTTGTTACATGGATGCTGGGATCTGAATTCAGGTCCTTGTGTTTATGCAGCAGGTACTCTTACCCACAGAGCCATCACTATAGCCCCACTAAGAGTGTTTTCAGACCGTGTGACCAGCCTATCAAAAACGGTGTACCCAGGTATGGTGGGCATACACCTTTAATCCTAGCACTTGGAAGGCGGAGGCAGGTGGTTCTCCATGAACTGGAAGGCAGCCAGGTCTACACAGCAAGATGCTGTCTAGAAAACCAAAAGGAACTAGAGATAACAGAGCAAAATAAGATAAAACAAAACAACGAAGAGTAAGAGTAACAAGAAAACCCAGTATCAAAACAACTTATCAAATAGCAACAAAGAGTAGGAAAATGAAAAGAAGAAGAGTGTTAGAAAAGAAATAAATAGAACTTCTAGAAATGAAGTCACAGACATAAAAATACAAACCAAACCAAACCAAAACAGCCTCAGTAGACAGGTTAAGCTAGACACCACTAGAGAACTAATAGCAATGGCTGATCATTGCCCAGAGCTGAACACTGGGACGATTTCCCTACTGAACAGATTGTAGCACACTCCACTGTGGCAGAACTGCAGAGCATTTACACAGAGAAAAATCCTCATCCCGTTGTTATCTGACTTTTGGGACCAGATGAATACAGAATAACTGTTCTAATTCAGTCTCAGCCCCAGCAATCCTCCCTTGCGGAGTCTAGCCCTCTAGTCACAGAGCATGGAGAGAGAGCATGTCCATGGGATGGGACGGGATGAGCTAGAAGAGCAGAGAATTTCACTGCACCAAAATTTAGTTCTCGTTAGTTATTACAGGTGAGATGAGGAAGGGCAAAGAGCTGTGTGTGCATGTGTGTGCACACACGCGCGTGTGCAAGCCTGTGAGTGCATGCGCACGCACAGGAGTGTAAAGGCCCAAAGAGGCCAGAGATATTGGATGTCCCTCGAGCTGGAGTTGCAGGCAGTTGTGAGCCACTAATGTGGGTGCTGGGATCCAAATTCAGGTTTCTTGGAAAAAGAACAGTACACACGTTTAACTGCGGAACCATCTTTCTAGCCCCCCAAATCACTTAGTATTTACAATTTTTAAAAATTATTTTTATTTTATATGTGTGAATATTTTGCTTTCATGGGCCCGTGGAGGTCAGAAGTCATCAGATCCCCTGGGACTGCATTTAAGGATGGTGGGTGCTGAGAACTGAACCTAAGTCCTCTGCAAAAGCAACAAGTGCTTTTGAACCACCTCTCCAGTCCCAATATTTATAATCTTTAATTTGTGTTTGTATGTGCGATGTGTGTGCACATATGTATTCAGACACATGCAGAGGAAGACATCAGGGATTTTCTGAGGCAGAGTCTCTTTCTGAACCTGGAACTAGGCTGGTGGCTAGCAAACCACAGCCATCTCCCTGTGTCTTCCCCACTCCTGTGCTGGCGTCACAGGCGCATGCACAGCAACAGCTGGCCTTTTATGGGTACCAGGGATTTGAACTCAAGTCCTGATGCTTGCACAACATGTGCTCTTACCCACTGAGCTTTCTCCCCGGCCCCAAGTCTTTGCAGGAATGAGCAGTCAGGTAAGTGGGAGAAAACATGGAAAACATTGCCGTGTTTATGATGCTCTAGGGAGTTGGGGAGGAGACAAGTGTGGCATTTGTCCACCTGGGTTTTTGAAACTTTTGGACATTTTCTCTCAGGAAAAGGCAGAGAGAAGACTTTGTCCTCACTTGCCTGGAGACTGGGAGTGCTGGCGGCTGCATGCCAGGCTGCCAGGCTTTCTGCCTGGGTCTGATCAGCTACAGCTGAGTCAGAAGCCACTGCCCTGGGGCAGGAGAAGCAACCACAGACTTGGGCAGGGCCATGCCCACACAGCTGTCTTCGCGGGAAGGGTGGCTTGGGGTCACCTTGGAGCTCTGGGTTATCCACCAGGCTCCTGAGAAGCTGAGGAGATAGAGCTCACTGAAACACAGGCCCAAGAGGGAGCCACACCTGACTTCCTGTGGAGTCACATCTGCCACCTGGAAGCAGAGAACACACCAGTGCACATCACTTGACACTGCTGTGTTCTCAAAGAGCAGCGACTTCCTCACTGGACTTGGAAAAGCAAGCAACTGGGGGAGGGAGGCTTCAGCCCCTGCATCACAAACACGTGGCAGGGCTCTCAAACCAGAGTCTGTGATCCAGTAGCTCTGAACGGTACCCGGGATACTTTTTATTGTTTCTGTAGTGGTGGGGATGGCATCCACGGCTTCATGCATGTCGGGCACACACTCCAGTGCTGAGCTGCGCCCCACACTGCCATGTCCCACCCCCTTCTTACCGCATTATGAACTCCTTGAAGCATAACCTCAGCTTGTTGTGATGTCGATAGAGCTTTGGGTCAGCTGGAATTTCAGCCAAGAACACTTGGGCTACCTCCAGTGGTCCCTGATGGAGAAAGTGAAACATGACATTGATATTGGAATGAAAATTAAATTACTTGGGAGACCGAGAATGCTGGGAGGGCTCCTTAGTTTGGACATTTAATTCTGTAGCGTGTTTCATGAAAACAAAAAGCCTAGGGAGGTCTTGAATTTCTCGGGAAATCGGTTCCTGGGGAGGACTCAGTTTTAAGAGAACACTGACTAGTCTAAGCACATCACCTTCTCAATCAAACACTAGCCCTACTGTTTCCCCTTGCTGAAGTCCTGTGAGGGTCTCCTCTAACGCAAGGAATACTGCTATCTGTTCAATCACATTTGTTTATCTGGTAGCCCCAGTGGAAGAAACCATTTTGTGTAATCTCTGGCTTGAGCCAGAGAAATGCACAGGCCCTCTGTGGCCTATGGTTGTGAGAGTAAAAATCTTCTGTTTTCTTCATGGGATTGGGACTCACAAAAGCAAAAGTGTCCTGATATTTTTCTATTGTTGGACATACAATAGTATTTCTTCTGTCTGATGCCTCTGATCCCTTGGTGTTGAGGAGACTTAGAACTTCTGCAGGAGCTCCTCAGATGGAGAAGGTGCTGGCTGGGAAGGACAATGGTTGGTGAGATTTTAGTGTGCTGGTGTGAAGAACCAACATCAAGGAGCCCACTAGACTAAAGGTACTAATTAGGCTGTGTGTCCGTCTGTCAGAGACAGGCTTGATTCCATGCTTAACTCATGTGTAATGGTTCTCACAGGAATAAGAAACATCAGTCCTTTTAGAGTTCCAGGTCAAACCTGGTTGGCAAGGTCCTCGCTATGTTGGGTACACCTGGTAGCTAACCAAGGGAAGAGATGGTCGGGTCTTTTCTTCTTCATATACATATTCTTAGATGAGTCCCAAGCCCTGCATAGAGCACTACCTATGCTGGACATGAGTCAGCTCTCTTCAGGAGGACTCCAGCTTTGGGTCACACTGCCAGAGTTGGTCCCACATTAGAGACTCTGAGAAAATGGATGGCATTCCTTAAACACAGTCCAATCCTTTTGAGAATTTCTTTGGGAAGACTGCATGTGGACTGACTCATCAAGTCCTAAGGAGGGTATAGACCTCATGAACAAAGGAGTAAGTGTCGGCCGAGCTGCATTAGTGAATCCTGCTCACCTGGTTTACAGTGGCTCCTACAGAGCCTTGTAGTACCATCTGCAGCATCTTGGCATCAGGGGGCTCCTGGTGAGTGGCCACCGCTAACTGCAGGGTCTTCTTCTTCATATCTTCAATGGCAACTTCAATCGGAGTCAAGACGAACTGAACAGAAGACCATAGGAGAGTGAGGTCATGGTCTCCCTCACGGTCCCTGGCAAACCTGGAATGCTGATAGGTGGGCTGCCTGGATTTGAAGAAGCAGCTAACGAAAGACTTCTGGGGTACTTTGGAATAATCTGAACAGGTGAAGTAGAGAGATGGGCTTGACATTTCTTGAGCACCTACATGTTCACTACTGTATATGTGTTTCCCCTTGAAACAACATCTTGTCCTTCCCAGTCTACAATAAAGGGGGAATTTATAAGATCAAGTAAGTAACGCAAAATGTATCCAGTGTTAAGGTACACATTCTATCACAATTATGCCTGTATTCAAAGCCCATGGTCTTTCTATATGGTTAGGTTTCCTTTTCTGTTATTGAAAGAGGTACTCGAGTTACAAGGGGGAAGCACAGCAGCCAAGATTTCCTTTCCCATCATCACATAGGATTTTGGCATCATTTGTGCCCTTCCACCTCACCCTGGTGACACCTGGTTAAGGATTTTCTTCAGGATCCATCTAGTTGCTAAGTTCTGCTGGTTTGGGGTAGGAGCTTCCCTGAATGTGATGGGTCAAATCCTGTCTCCCCCAAATCCACATGCTAAAGTCCTAACCTCCAGGAGCTCAGAAGGTAACTTTATTTGTAGGTAATAAAGTGAGTTTATTAGGGTGAACCTAATTCATATAATTGGTGTCCTTAAGAGGTGAGGAAGTAAGGACACAGGTGTGTATAAGACAAATGATGTGAACTGACACTAGGGGAAGATGTCCTTTGACAAGTCTAAAGGACAGGCCTGGGAGAGATCCTCCCTCAGCCCTCACAAGGAAACAACCAGCTAACCCCCTGAATTTGAATTTCCCTGCCCCTGGATCTATTGAGATAATACATTTCCATTGTTTAAGCCATTTAGTCAGTAGCACATTGTTACCCAGCCCAAGCAATAGAAATCACAGAGTAGTTCTAGGGAATTGCATATGGCTATAAGGATACTTTTACAATGTATCTCTGTATTGTGCCTAGAATATCTTACTGTTCAAAAGTCCAAAGCAGTAAGAACCACACTGGATGTCTCCGAAACCTCCTTTCCATCAACAGTCTCCAGGGCAGGCTCCTCTACCCTCTATGAAAGTTCCTCCTGGAGGAAGCTCAATGGGGGTTTAGATGGCTCCTCTCCAGCCAGTTCAGCCCATGCAGTCCTGGCCCGTGAGTGGATGGTTGCAAGTCCCCCACTTGCTCACTGACTTGATTAGGCCTGCTACACTTGTTATTTTAATAAATAACATATAAACTGACGAACTAAGGGTGTGGAAAGAAAGGGTTGTTTCTAAGAAGATCAAGCAGAATGCTTGGGCAAGACGTCATGAAAGTGAGTTGCTATAAAAATTCCTGTCATATTAGGTATGCACAATACAACTGTAAAAGGCTTTGGGCTAGGCTCATCAAGATCCAGAATCCATCCTCTCACACATCAGTTAACAAGCATTTGTAAGGCCCCATCCTGCATCACGGAGAGCAAACTGAAAACTGGGTGTGGCTTATATAAGAAAGACAATACTGTTGTGACCAGTTAAGCCACCAAGTAGAGGGGGTTATAGTCCACTATGTCAAGGTGGTATGAGAATTAGCATGAAAGGATTTAAAGGAAAAATGGAATGTTTGTGATGGATTCTATTAAAATGGCTCAAAGTCTTCCAAAATACATAAGGTCTTTCTTGCCAACATTTTTTATTAAGAAGTTGGAGTCAAATACTTTGGGCACAGCCACAGAAGAATCTGGAGCCAGAAGTCAGGTTGCTATGCCCACCTCATCTGTGTCCTGCCCACACAGAGTACCAGCTCAGGGGGCTGCTTGTCTGTGGTTCCCTCTCCAGTGATGTAGACTACAACAATGCCTGAAACACATTCAGGCCTTTAGGTACATACTTTTTTTTTCAAACAGAAGGCTGGGGTGTAGTATGCAGTGTTCACCTAGCAAGCATGAGGTCCTGAATTTAGGTCCTGAAATTTAAATATAGTCATTCATCTCTCCATGAGAAGTTGGTTCTGGGAACCACTGTCTTCAACCACTCTGAAATCTGAGGACGCTCAGGGTTTTGAACATGAGATATACTCACAGCATCACGTACTCCGGGTCTGGTTTCCAACAGAAACCTACACAGCCAGTGGGTGAATCTCTTGAACTGATAACAGGGGGCAAGACATGAAGTATAGAGGATAGGCGTGGCTGGGCGATGCAGGTCCATGGGAGCATCCCCTTGGGGTTGTTATTTTTCCCTGGTCCCTCTCTGAAACCTCACTGTCTGCTTCCTGGTCACTAGGATGTGTACTGAACGTCTCTGCCATGCCTTCTTCACCAAACTCAGTTTGGAAACTGAGTTACAGTAAAATCTCCCCTAAGTTGTTTCCACCAGGCACTTGGTCACAGCATGGGAAACACTCGACAGTGGAGTAGCAAACCCTTCACAGTCAATGGGCTGCAAAGGCTGTGTAGACAGTTGCTTTACCATATTCTTTAAGATGAAAATGGCAAGGAGAAACGTTCATACAAATTGTTTATAGATGTAAACTTTCCCTTCAAAATGCTAACTCATGGTTGGTTGACTCCATGGATATGAAACCTGAGAATACGAAGGGCTAACTGTATAGATATCTTATTTAAGTTTATAATTAAATGGAAAGAGATGTAATTAAATATGTAACCATGCTACAGAAAGAGTTATGTTATATTACATATAAATATATAAAAACATACATAATATATCATGTAAATATACCATATAATTTATCAATATATAGAAATATGCTTTATACTATAAATATGCTATATATTTAAGTCATTTTATATATTTAAATATATAAATATTTTATATGTATTATATAAAATAACTTAAATACATAAAATATTTAAATATATAGTATATATTATATGTATATGTAATATTACATATAGTATATGCAAAATATAAAGCTATGCTATATTAAAGAGTTAAATATTTAATATGAAGTACTATTTTGAAAGGCGTAACTAATTGAATGGGATTTCGTGGTCCCATGAGAGTGAAAGAATAGCTTTCAAGGGTATATTTGCACATGTTAGAAGCCCTACACTGAACTACATCTTCAGCCCTTGGTTTATTCAGACAAGATCTTGCTACATAGTTTAGGTTGCCTTAGACTTGCTCTGAAATCCAGGATGCTGTCTAGCTCAAGTGGCTCCTGCCTCAGCCTCTGTAGTATGGGATTATAAGCATGTACTTGCAGGCTTGGCACATGTTTGATGGGGCTCACTACATAGTCCTGGTAGACTTGGAACTTGTTATGTAGATAAGGCTGGCCTTGAACTCACAGCCACCCACCTGCTCCTGTCTCCACAGTACCCAGGCCCACTCCTTCGGAGGTGGCCACTCCCTTCAGGGTGCATTACCTCCTCCTTCTGGATGACTTGGATTCTGGTCTTGATGTAGGGGAAGGCATGCATGGTGGTGAGCACCGTGTTCCTGCGATACTGTTCGTGCAGCTCTCCCCGAGGCCGCCCCTCCAGAGTGAAGGGGGTGGTGTACATGAACCTCCGAAGGTTGAAATTCTTCTCGAAGTAGGTCACCCTGTCTTTCATCTCATACTCATCAAAGTAGGGCTCCACAAAAGTGATCTGTATGTAGGCCTGGAGGAAGAGGTGAGAAGAAGGGAAGAGATGAGCCACTCAGCCAAGGAGACTCGTGCAGCCTTGGAAGGGCATGCTGGGACAGGATACAACACTCCTTTCCGATCTGGAAAACCACCAGTGCCTCAAACCAGAATTCAGAATCTGCCCTTTCTCCTCTCCACCCCAGGCAAAGAAAGGCCCTTGAGACTACGGAAGGGAGTGTGTCATATACAGGGAAGAGTAAGGTCTACCAGCTGCCCCCTCTAGCACAGCAAAGGAAGGCAAATCTTCCTCACTGAGTTGCCATGATGAGGACCTGCTAATTAGGTAGTGCAAATGCTTACCCTTGAAAAAACACATAGTACCACGTGCTTTCTAGGATGGAGCAGCTGGAATGTTTAAAGGATCACCGGGGAATGCAAAATGCATGGCTACGCTATAAGCCAAAGCTCCGTATGCAGCTAAATGACACCCACCCAAGAACCCCACTCCATGTATGTACACAAGTGTTTGTGTGAGGCTTTTCTTGGATTGGTGCACTCATTGCCTTCTTGAATCAGAGCAGCTGAGACCACACATGCAGGAAGATGGGAGGCTACTGAAGCCCCTTCCTCCCTACATCCACTACCATCCCCCTCCTCTTTCCTACTCTCCTCCCCATAGAGGAAGCTGCAAACAGCTGCTGAGAGGAATTTCTCTGCACAGAGGATTTCCTGGTGGTACAGCTGACTCTGAGTACCCATGCTCCTCTAAATAACACCAACAAATGCATTGATTTACCAAGTTAGATTTGAACAGACCCCTTTCTTTGATCTCTTGTTGCCTTCACTATATGAGGTGAACAGAAACAGACACGTCACATGACATCAAGAAAATGAAAAGTAATAATCAGCCCAAATTAGAGCCACATTGTTGATAATAGACAATGAAGAACTGCCCACATGTCCCTCCAGTGGCGATAATAAGCAAGTGTGGTACAATGAACAGTATTCGCGTGACTACGAAGGAACTAGTTCAACACGGTGAACTTAGGTGGGGCACGCTGAGTAAAAGAAGTCAGCTCCAAAAGAATGCATGCTCCCACATGTCTGTGCTCCAGAAAGGCAAATCTACACAGATCTGAGGAATACAGCTTGGTGTCCACTAAAGGGTTAAAAGTAGAGAGTGGTGGCAAAAGAGCTTGGGAAACTTTTCAGAGTGACAGGACGGTTTTGTACCTTGACTGCCAAGATAATGGTTATATGTGTGTCAAAGTGCATTAAACTACACACCAGCCAAGGCAGTGGTGACCCAAACTTTTAATCCCAGCACTTGGGCGGCAGAGGCAGGTGGATCAAGGATCTCTGTGAGTTCGAGGCCAGTCCTGGTCTACAGAGCTAGTTCCAGAACAGCCAGGGCTACACAGAAAAACCCCGTCTCGGAAAACCAAAACCAAACAAAAAACAACACACCAGTGAAACACACACACACACACACACACACACACACACACAGAGAGAGAGAGAGAGAGAGAGAGAGAGAGAGAGAGAGAGAGAGAGAGAGAGAGAGGGAGGGAGGGAGGGAGGGAGGGAGGGAGGGAGGGAGGGAGGGAGGGAGGGAGGGAGGGAGGGAGAGAGAAGCATGCTTGCTAACGAAGAAGAGCTCTTTAAAAACACAAGGAAGAAGAATTGAAATGAGAAGTGAACCCAGGCTGAGACACCCACCCAGAGAGGAGGAGGGGTGGGCGACTGACCTCACACTGTAAATCATGCTTTGAATAATGAAATCTGGGTGTGGCTCTGGGTTAGGATTCTCATTCCAAGCTCACAATCTACCCTGGGAATTTTAAAAGAGGGGAAAGGCCCTGCCATTGGGAAGGTCACTTGGGCTGTGCTCAGATCACTATGGGCACACAGCCAGTCCTATCTTCCAAGGACTCCAAAACGTTCCTTCAATGCTTACCATAATGATTGCTTTCAGGCCTCAGCTGGGGAATGTCTCGCAAACAAGGCAGTGTTCTGACTTGCATTTGGCCAATTCCTCCCTATTGGTATCATCTTTGTGCAATCCTGAAGACAGAACTCAGGGACCCTCATGGAGAGCGCATAGGAACCGCCCTCCCTCCTGACCTTGCACTCTGTATCCATTTTTGTACAGCTGCAATCAGAACTATGGTACTGTTTTCAGTCCTTGAGCTCATCTTGATGAATTATGTAACCCATGGGGGTCACGAGAACTCCTAAACTTGTAGCCAGCTAGAAGTATGGTTGTTGTGAGATGTATGGGAGCCCCACTTGAGGTTCATGTTTGAAACAAGGGCAGTCTTGACTGGTAAAGTCCCATGCTACATGTGAGCCGTAGACATCAGAATTGCACAGTTACAATAGCAACCCTGCACATGGCTAGAAGGAATGCCTGAAACCTAAAGAATGATGCCACTAAGCACTGTCCGCCAGAAGCTGCTGTATGTTTTTACACACACACACACACACACACACACACACACACACACACTTTATGTGTATGTGTTTGTATATGTCACAATTGTGCATGCATCCTTGGAGGACAGAAGAGGGAGTTGGATCCCATGCAGCAGGAGTTACTGACTGTTGTGAGTCTCCTGATGTGGGTGCCAGGAACCAATCTGATTCCTTTGGAAGAGCAGGAAGTGCTCTTAACTGCTGGGCCATCTCTCCAGGCCCCAGAAGTTGGAATTTTAAAACATTTTAAGTTGAAAGCATAAGCATTTTATAGAAATGCACTAAGGAGACAGAGCGATTAAGAGAAATGCGGGGTTGGTATCTGACCTCATGGGGAGCAGCGGCTCTGCCATTAGCATCATCTTAGAAAGTCATTCAACCTTCCCAAGGCTGGATTTTTTATTCTATAAAATAGAAACAACCAAACCTATTCCTAAGGGCTGCTGGAGGATGGCAGGAGATGATTTAAAGATACAGCTGGTGCTGTCTAATAAAGAACAGCTGTAGACAGACAGTTTCTGGGGCTAAGGGGCTGTGGGGCCAGGTGGGGCAGAAACTCCATCTACAAATAGTTCCTACTATGATTCTTGGTTTTTGAATATGCTTTTTGTTCTGTTTTGGTTTTTGAGACAGGGCTTCTCTGTGTAGCCCTGGCTATCTTAGAACTCATTCTACAGACCACGATGGGCTTGAACCCACAGAGCTGCCTGCCTCTGCCTCCCAAGTGCTGAATTTAAAGGCATGCATCCTACCAGCAACCAGATGAGCATTTTTTCATTTTTTAAAAATTTATTTATTTTACATCCTGAGTATGTTTTTTTAAAGACCTGATCAATCAGTAATTGAACCCTGCAGTGGGGGGAATGCTTGTTTGCTGGATGGTGTGTTGGCACATGCCCTACAAATCCTGTCACTAGGAATATTGAGGAAGTAGAATATTGAATTCCAGGCCAGCCTGGGCTACACAGCATGAACCTGCGTCAAAAAAAATCTCAACAGGCTGAGGAGATGGTTCAGCGGGTAAAGTGCTTGCTGTATAAGCATTAAGAACCTGAGTTCAGGCACCCAGCACCCACACAAAAAGCCAAGTGAGGCACTGTATCACGCATGTGCATCCCTAGTGCGGCACTGCATGGCACGTGTACATGCCCAGTGCTGGGGGTGGGGGAAGGTGGTAGACACAGGTAGATCCTGGCATTTAAAGGCCAAACAGGGAACTCCAGGTAGAAACAATAAGGTGGTACATGGTAGAGAAAGACCTGATGCTAACCTCTAGCTTTCACATGTGGGCATGTATGGGAGAGTGTATTCGCATACACAATCGCATATACCCCAATCACACGCGCGCGCGCGCGCGGGCACGCACACAGACATACCCCCAAACAAAACAAAACATAGCTGCATTTGAAGGACTGGGAGAGTCCAGACACATAAGGTCATTTTGCACTTTTAGGGTAGAGTCTGGTGGTTGTTTTTAGCATGTTTTCTCCATACCTTGTTAGGATCCAACTTGGTTTTATCCACAGGAGTGGAGTCTTTTATCACTTCCACAAACTCTGCACCAAAACATTGGCCATAAAATCCCTAGGAAAGAGAGGCCAAGGATGCATAAATTCATTTGGAACACATGCAACTCTTTGGAACCAGTACAAGGCTGAATCTGTTGATTACTGATGGTCCCTCTGAGCTAAGAAGCAACCGTAAGCACTTCCTGAGACGGAAATCAAAGTTTAAGATGCTCAACACACTCAAGTACCTAAGCCTCCCCACAATACAGATGTATGGTTTCAAATTCAGCCAACATCATCACATTTCTGGAGGCAGCTCTATGGGTAGGCACTATTTACTTCTCACATTTTATACCCTGAAAATGTGGAGGTCGCCAGGCTTCCCATAATGTGGCAAGCCACGGTGTGCAAGGAGATGAGACAGACATTTCTAATTTTAAGCAGAGGACACAATATTAGGGAATTAACAGCCAGGGCCAACGGCTAGTTTTCCTTATCATGAGGTGAATGACTTTAGGCCTGACTAGGCCGCAGCTTCTTGGAGTTGAGTCCTCTGGCCTTAAAGTGAGTTTTAAAGCTTTACAGTCATAAGAGGAGACACAGTCAAAGTAAGAGCATGGCAGCGTAACTGGGGAGCCTTTAGTTAAATGTCAACTCTTCTCAGGACCGTGGTCTCTCAGCCCCCTAGAGGACTCTTATTTGTTCCTCTCAGTTTCTGCTTCTGTTTTCCTAGCTTTTCTCTATGCTGTTTCCTTTTGCTCTGTCCATTGAGAACCTGCTACTCTTTTCTGTTTCATAGCGTAGCTGCCAGGTTGGAGTCGGGGCTGGCTATAGCCACTTTCCAATTGCTTTATATCTGAGTGGGATGTGTTATTTAGAAACACTTAAGGGCAGCCTCACCATTGAGGGTGAAGGGAATGATTCTGGAGTTTGGCAGATTGCTTTGAAATCAAGATGGAAACCTTCATGTCAAAAAGCACCATGACCACTGCCTGTTGGTTCATATTGGTAATGAATGAGTAGAAGACTCTATAAGTAGGTGTGGATGTTGACTGGATTTTATAGTCTTGAAAATCACTATCCAAGACTTAAATTTGAAACTTTGTAAAACAAACATAGGATTCAGGAGGAAAATGTGCAACTATTATGGTACTCACAATCTTGCCTACAACCTTCATACCACAAATGCAATGTAGAAATTTATATAGAGGTCAGCAACGAGCACATTTGTTTAAAGAATGACATATCCTGCCTTGTTTTTAGGGAGTGTACAAGGTCAAACACATAGCACCACTTGCTCACCTCTAGTCTATGCGAGATCTCGGGAAGCTTTGTAATTGCAGGTTCCTTGTACACAAATTCCTGCTCATCCAAATCTCCAAATTTGGATCCGTAGAAACCAACTCGGAAGTAAGTTCCAAACATCCTCTTATGGTCCTGTTACAGAGGAAAGGGATGGTCTCTTCAGCTGTGTCATTACTGGTGATCCACTTGGCTAAAAGGATTGGTTATTGGGCAGCAAACATTTTATTCCCACAGCTGACACGAAGAGGAACCGCTCTGTTAAGTAGATTTAACATTTACACAACACACCCCAGCAATGATTACAAAAGAAATCCCATGAAAAACTCCTGGGGCTTCATTTAACTGAATTTTAAAAACTCTCACATTCCCTAGCTATAAAGCAACTCCACCTGCCACATTGTACTCCCAGACCTTCCTTGTTTGAGAGTGACAGTTCCTTGAGCTCAAGGGAAATCTGTAGTCAGGGAGAACTCCAGACACCAGCTAACAGAACCTACAGGCCAGCTCATCCCCAGCTACCTTGTTGATGATGTTGTCAAAGGCCTTCTGCAGTTTGTCATGAGTAGAGGTCAGCTTCCGGAAATCTCTATGTGCTTCCAGGATGGGGATGACCAGCTTGTAGACTTCATTAACTGTCTCATACAAGCCTCCCTGAGAAAGAGGAGATTATTTAATGCACTGGAGGTGTAAGAAAGAGGACCAGGGTTAATTACACACACAACATGCAGGAGAGCATCATAGCACTTTTCGGAATCCTCCACACCTGTCTGGGCATCTTTGGAGACCAGGCACCTTGCTAAGTGGTCTGTATGGCGATGCCAACCAGGGAGGTGGCTTTTCTCAAACTGAAAACTGGAGGAGATGACACAGGTAATAAGGGACTCCGAGAGGTGGAATATGGACAAAGTACAATGATATATATGTATATGTGTATGGGAAAATGTAATAAGAAAGCTAGTTTTGTACAATAACTAAAAATCAATTAAAACCTATTTTTTGCTCTAAAATAGAAAGTAAAGATAGGAAAATAAGGGCAGTAAAACAATAATTCAAACACATAGAAAATATAAGGAGGAAGTTTGGAAGTGAAGAGTAGAAAATAAAAAAATAATACAAACAGGAAAACAGAATGGGGTCAGCTAAATAAAGAATTGGATTTACTGGGCTTCACTATGGGGCGAGAGGGCAATGGTTAAAATAGAGATATATGAGTGGCTTTCCACCTCCTCCTGAACTGCAGCAGGTTTTCTATGCTTTTTCTCTTATTGAGAGTCAGACCCAGATCCAGCTACCGAGGGATGGCTCTGTGGCTTCTGCTGCCCCATCTCTCTGAACTGCCTTGGTCTATACAGGTCTGAAGACCAGCTGAGTGTCCCGGGAAGATGTCATGGATCCCTGCCTGCTCTTCAGCTGCTCCTGCCCTTATTCTGTGAGTGGGAAAATGAGGGCGTAAGAATATGTCTCATCTCTGATTGTGTAACCCTGGGCAAGCTGTTTCACCTCTCTGTGGCTTAGTTGCCACCCTATTAAATGGAAACAATACTGTGAAACAGCTCCTGGCCAATGAGCACGCAGTGGAAATAGGAGTATGTCCACGATGAAATCTCCTCCCTTGGAGAGCTGACGCAATCTGCGGACATCAAAGCATCCCTGGTCTAGCCAGGAGCATCCAGCCAGGCCCAGTCCTATCCTGTACACCCCGGTGAGAGTGAGGAAAAGGCTGAAGGAGCCCTTTAGGCACTGACCGTGCTGAAGAGCTCTGCAGCCTGCTCCAGGAGGCCCACTAGTCCACTCTCCGTGAAGTACCGACCAGAGCACACTCCATCCTCATCAGGTGACAAGGTGTCGTCAGAGACGGCAGACTCTTCCAACACATTGGAGGAAATATTCTGTAAGGGAACCTGACATGAGCCCAGGAACAGGAGACTGACAAATAAGGGACCACAAAACCCAAAGAGATAGTAGGATAAAGAAGTCACGCTCTACGACCTTCATCACGTGGTGATTACAGTGAGTTTGCAATTCCATCCACACAAGCTTCTGGTGGTTATTCATTTTGAAGGGTCACACTGAGTAATCTTGTCATCAAATCCCACAATGTTTAACCATGGAGGAACTTTCTAGAAAGGATGCTTTCCTTGATGTAGCAATAGTTTGGCTGAAACAACCTCACTGTTAGTGAGATAACTTTACGGGACATATAAGGAGGGCCTTGGATTTTAAAAGGCAAGCAGGGAATGGAGTCAGCTGCTACTCCTGCTTGTCTTGTCTTTGAGATAAATAACCATATTATTGCATACGAAAGTAATGGATGACCATGTCTTCCATCTTCTTTTTTTCTAATAATTATTGCACCTATTTCTCTACACAAAAATTTTACATCATAAGCCTTCCAAAAAGTGAACAGACAGGTTAAAAATTACAAACTTACTGGCAAAGAACACAAAATCTACACTGACTATGTTTTGTCACAAACTGATGTATAGCATTGATGTGCAATGAAATTTGGTGAACGATGACCATGCAAATAAAAATCCGCCATAATAATTTTTGTATGCTTTATAAAATGGCTTTAAAGACATATTTCCATAAATATTTCCAATGTACTTTAGTTGATGACAAAAATACAAAGCTATCCTTTATTATTTATGTCATAGATTTAAAAACATGCTTTTGTATTGTTGAAATTGAAACAACATTGTTTGGCCAGCAGAGCTAATGAAACATTTAAAATCCAAAGTCTTCCATCTTCTTCTTCTTCTTCTTTTTTTTTTTTTTCGAGACAGGGTTTCTCTGTATTGTTTTGGAGGCTGTCGGTCCAGCCCGGCCTCGAACTCACAGAGATCCGCCTGCCTCTGCCTCCTGAGTGCTGGGATTAAAGGCGTGCGCCACCACTGCCCAGCCAGAAGCTTTGATGTAGCTCAGAAGTTGCCCATTCTCACACCCATTTTGTTGCTGTGTGCTTTTCCTTTATATAAACTACAGACCTGAGAGCCTCTTACCAGGGAATGCAATGTCTATAAATGGGTTGGTGCAAATGAGAACCCAGGGCCCAACACTTCCAGAAGCACTTGTGTTTAGGATCATGGAATTGCTGTCTTGGAACTTACTTGATTTTGAGAATGAGTTTCTCTTCACATTTTGTATTGCATGTACACCATTTGCCTCATCCAGGCTCTGACCCTGGCAGTGACTTCAACACTTCTGATAGGCCAAGAGCCATTCTTGGCTTACAGCTATGGAAGAAGTGAGTATGGTGTGTAGAAGAAATGGGAAACTGTCACTGCGTAGGAGCTGCAAACAGCACACAGGCCACTCCTTCCTCCCGCTGTGCACGTAGCAGGCATAACTCAACAATGATGACATTCTTTTCCCTGGAAGATGGATATACCCCAAAACTCCCAGCATAATGCTCCAGTCAGCTACTACCAATTGCTCAGATGTGTGTGTGTGTGTGTGTTTTTAAATGATCGCTGTCTGTCTTCTGACTTGGCTATCAAAATCAAGGTAATCACCTTTAGGAATCCATAACGAGGTAGCTGTCACAGCCTATGCATTCACAGTTACACCGGAATACATTTATGAACACAGAGTTTTTGGAAATCCTCTGTGACCAATCTTTCTTCCGAATCTGAATTATTACAATTTCAGCTGAAAGAACCTAGTCACTTAGGCCAGCAGCACTAACAGAAGTAGGTGATTTTTCTGAGTGTGGAGGGATAGGTATGAGCGAGGCAGCTCAATAGCTGTAAGTCACGGGGAAAATATCTGCGCAGACATTCCTGGCTTCGAGCAAGGGAGGTAAAAGTAACAGTGGTATTTGAGAACACATCCACATCCATGTTTGTGAGATCAGCTTGCCTGCACTCCAGGGATAGAATTCCAATGATCTCAGAGGCTTGGACCTCAGTGAATTCCAAGTTATTTCCCCTGAACATTATCTCCACTCTACACATCACTCCCAAAGATTTAATTTTATTGGAGTACAGTGAGAATAAAAACCAGAGCACACAAAGAACATATAAGAAATCAGCAGTAGAGCCAGGCATGGTAGCACATGCCTAAAATCCCAGCACTTGTGAGGCGGAGACAGAGGGATATTTTTGAATTAAAGATAAGTGAGTCCCTGTCAGAGAAAGAAAGGGGAGGGGGTGGGAGGAAGGGAAGGAGGGAGGGAGAGAGAGAGGAAGGAAGGATGAACAGATGGAAGGAAGGAAGGAAGGACAGACAGATGGAAGGGAGGGAGGGAGGCAGGCAGGCAGGCAATCAGCAGAAGTGACTATTGATAACACTGTCTGAATTCCTCCATTCTTCTGTCACATAAAGTATCCACATTTTCTTCTCTCTTTCTGTTTTGTTTTTAGAGATAGGGTTTTTCTGTATAACAGCCCCGGCTGTCCTGGAACTTGTTTTGTAGAGACTGGCCTGTCTGACTCCTGAGTGCTAGAATGAAAGGTGTGTGCCGTCACCACCACCTGGTTTTCATTTTGTTTTAGAAAAAACACTGGACATGTTCATTGTGACCTGTGACTCTGGCACAGATAATCAGGCCATCTTACTATTGACCATTATGATTGTTTCATGGACAAACACATGACCTGGTCAGAAGCAGTAAGATGCCCTAAGACTTTCTTTGCAACTAATAGAAAGGGGGGATTTCTCTTTTCTCCTAGTCTTGAATCTTACTCTAGAATCATCATTGTGGAGATTCTGCCTATGAAGAATGATGCCCACACCACAGAAGGCTAGGACAAGAGGTGGTGACAACACCAAGGTCACATGAGTTTGGATTTCTAAGTCCTTTAGACTATTTATCATTAAGTGTTACTAAATAAGGGGCTAGAGAGACGGCTCAGAGGTTAAGAGTACTGGCTGCTCTTCCAGAGGTCCTCAGTTCAATTCCCAGCAACCACTTGGTGGCTCACACCATCTCTAATGAGATCTGGTGTTCTCTTTTGGCCTTCAGGGATACATGCAAGCAGAACACTGTATACACAATAAATAAATCTGCAAAGAAAAATGTCCTTTAAAAAAAGTGTTACAAAATAAGGAACAGAACAGTAAGTTAAACGATGTCTCTGGCTAGAATATAAAATTCATGTAGACAGGACAAATGTTCAATGACTATTCCATAAAAGAAGGTATGAATAGCTGGGCCTGGTAACACATGTCTTTAATCCTATAACTTTAGTGGTACAGGACAGGCAGATCTCTGAGTTTAAGGCTATTCTGGTCTACCTATCTAGACAGGACTACATCATTGTTTCAAATAACAATAATACCTCTATAAAACCCTAAACAAACAAAAGAAGAAATGTATAAAGATATATGAAAAGGTAATCTGTATACTTCCATGCAAAGATAATGTAGACTGCCCCAGAGGTTCTGGAATAACATATCAGAATAAGAAAGGCAACTGATTTCTAAGTGAAATAAGGATAAAGTTAAGCTTTTTAAACATAAAAGTAAAAATGAAATTCAATTAATTTTAAGCATTAAATAGTAAAAATGCAGCAACTGGGAAAAGGCATTAAGAAGAAGCTCAGTAGATGGAGTGAGAAGAGGATGACACAGTATGAGGGACAAGTCTAAGGGACACAGTTCATTATGAGGGACAAGTCTAAGGGACACAGTTCAGTATGAGGGACAAGTCTAAGGGACACAGTTCAGTATGAGGGACAAGTCTAAGGGACACAGTTCAGTATGAGGGACAAGTCTAAGGGACACAGTTCAGTATGAGGGACAAGTCTAAGGGACACAGTTCAGTATGAGGGACAAGTCTAAGGGACACAGTTCAGTATGAGGGACAAGTCTAAGGGTCTTGCAGGAGCTGCAAGCGCCATTCTGCAACACCGAGGCAATGGGTAAGTGGGCAAAATGAACTGCTTACAAGAAGCAGACACACTGAAAACATTTAAAAAACTTTCTTTCTCACTTTTATGCATGAGGATAAACTGGGTTTTAGAACAAACATTTTTGAATTGAGACTAAAATTACCTGTTGAGAATGAAATCAAAGAGTAACTATTTTTGTTACTGAGGTCTGTAAGGAAGGAGACAGCAATGACCTATGCTAAAACCCAGCTTGCAGATGAACAGGCCTCCAGAAACCAGAACCTCCCGGCTCCACCAGCAGTTTCGGTGTGTTGTTCTCTAAGCCTGGGAAAGCTACTTAGAATCTTCTTGTCTTTCTCCTTTACAAAGCATCTCAAAACTGTGTTGAAGAACAATCATGAGAACAGAGCCCTTCATACAATCAGCTATAGAAGTTCAAATGAGAACAATATGAACGCTTGTCTCTAACTTCAGTCTGGCTGGAGACGGTCCATGACTGTAGTCTGCTCTCTGTATACTGCAGGGATGGTCATGTCTACAGACTGTATCTTGTTAAAAGAAACCACTCTTAGCATTCTTTAATTTGGGACTTTTCTGCCCTCTAAGTAGCATATTAAACTACACAGTAATAACAGTCCAAGTGGCTGCTGGGCAGCCCCATCTGGTCTGGCCCAGTTTGCCCTTATTGGATATGGGTAACTTTTGGGTTATCCTCAGGAAGCATCCATTCAGCCATTTCTTTCCCATCTCAGATCGATTTGATTCTTTCTTAATTTTGGACAACAGTGGAATCCCACAGACTTGAGGAAAAGAATTGAGGGATTGGGGCATGAGGGAATCAATAAACCAGTGTTCCCTCCTTGCCAATAGATAAGCCAAAAACAAATGTTCCAGAAAGAATTTAAATGATCTTAAAAAATTGCTGTCTTGTTTCTTACATCTGTGAAATGGAAATCTTCTGCTTCACAGGTTTATGGGGATGGCCAAATGTCTAGAATGTCTGAGATCTCTCCTAAAGCTCTTGTTGCCTTAAGTATCATTACTGCAATAAATGTGTTTTAAAAGATGGTGAAGCCATTAGATGAGGTAATTATAACACTTTAAGCCAGTGGTTTTCAACTGTGGCAACACCGACAACTAGGACCAGATACACTAATAGTGGAAACTAGGACCAGATACACTTGGTTTCTCCCTTTGTAACACTCTAAACATCTCTGGTGACTGTGGAGCTCTCCCTTGGGGAAGGACCCAGCCAACCATGGTTGGACACTGATGTAACATAAACTGTGAAAGCTGTGCCTGTCCTACCTGAAAACTGACGCTGCCCACAGGCAGGTAGCTGCGGTCCTCCAGCATGCTCAGGTACTCGGCCACCAAGGCGGCTGCGTGCACCAGGCACATGGCAGCCTCCGTGAAGCACTTCTTCTTGGTGTGCTTCTCTGCCATGTTCTGGAGCCAGGTCAGACGCAGGTCAGGAGATGCTTGGTAGCTCTTGGCGATCCTGAAGACAGATGGAGAATGTTTACTGTGCAGCCTTTCTATGGTACCGCTCTTACAGGGATGGCAAGCTTTATTCCCCCCACTAATCGTTCTGTTTACAATTTCAGGAAATAAGAGAAAGGAGAAAACATTTCATCCAACTCGAGGTGACCAGGGTGCTCTGGATGCCAAGAAGGAACACTTAGTAGAAGTCTTATGAGAAAAAAAAAATCTCATAAAATAATGTCCTTTTTTGTGGAGCTCAAGCAATTTCCTTCCTTTTTCTTTCAAAGTTGTAACAGAGGACACAGTTACAATGGATCACAGCTATTCACCTTTGTAGGTAACTTTTCCCAAAACTACTGGACCAGAGGACAAAGGGTTTAAACTACATAATAAAGTGTGACTTCTAAACTGCCTGTTTATGAATTGTCACAGAAGCATGTAGGAAACAATTCATACAACAGCCAATAATTCTTTTCTCTCATTCTAGACAGAAGATAGTATTTATTTTTCCCATATTTTTTTATTTAACTTTTTACGCATGTCACTTTCAGTTCCCTCTCCCTCTCCTCCTCCTCACCCCCCCAATCCTCGCAACCTATCACCCCCACTCCACCCCCTCCTTGCTTCCCAGGGAGGGCAAAGGGCCTCCATGAGGGATTTTCAGGGTCTGTCACATCATCCCGGGAAGGGCCCAGGTAGGTTCTTCTTCATGTGTCCAGGCTGAGAGAGTATCCCTCCACGTGGTATGGGTTCCCAGAGTCCCAGAAGATAGTATTTAAAATTAACACTGTATTTTAAGTTAGAGCAATCCTTCTGGAAATTTATGAATGAAACAACTCTAGTTTTCCATTATCTATAGTCTTCATATATTTTTGGATGTTATCCCTGAACTATTCTACCCAGGTTGCCAATGATAATGACATTACAAAGTGTACCACTATGACTTGAGAGATGGCTCACTGGTCAAGAGCACTGACAGTTCATCTAGAGGTCCTAGGTTCGATTCCCAACACCCACATGGCAGCTCATAACATCTATAACTTCAGCCCCAGGGCATTTGATGGCTTCTTCTGGCCTCCATGGGCACTAGGCACACATATGGTGCATAGACAAAACATCCATATAAATAAAATAAACTTTTACTAATAAAAGAAAAAGATGGAACCCCACTGAGACAAATATTCAGACTCTAAAACAATAACGCCTCCCTCCCTCTCAAAGGTGCCTCCCTCCCTTCCCTTCTCCCTCTCTCCCTCCCAAAGGTGCCTCCCTCCCTCCCTCCCTTCCAAAGGTGGTACCACCATGCCTGGCAACAATGCCCTTTCTATCTGCTCAGGAGAGTTTACCTGTACATGAGGTCCATGAGCATCTCAGGGTCTTCCTGGAATTCCCTCATTTTCACTGTATCATATAAAATGCTGTTCAGATTGCAAAGAAGTTCCTCCACCTGAAAAAAGAGTGCAAGCCGTGAAGAGCATGATGTTCAGGGGCAGAGAAAGCTTTGCTCAGAGAGAGGCAGAGATCCAAGGTGGAGAGAAGTTAAGACCATCTTTGGAGGTACTTTCATCTGTGCAACCCAAGGCCCACAGCTACTGTGGCCTGGAGATCCATGAAGCAGACCTGCATCTTTACACTATCTCCCTCTCCAGCACCTTGAGTTTTGAGTTTGAATGAGTCTTGGTTATTTGTAGACTGCAAAGGTACAAACTCTACTCTGCAGTGCCAGGTTGTGAGAACCTACCACAGAGTAGACCAGGGGCTGAAGTTAAAGGGCAAAGAAGGCTGCATTTTTCACCTATGGCATCTTTCACGTGGGCATTGCAACAAGACAGAAGAGTAGCTGTCCTCCTGGGTTCCTTAGGGCTAATTGTGGCGATATATTGTTTATGATCTAATAAAGCTTACCCAAAGATCAGAGTGTGGAGCTAGCCACAGCCATAGAGGCCAGGCAGTGGTGGCACACACCTTTAATCCCAGCACTAAGGAGACCGAGGCAGATGGATCTTTGTGAGTTCAAGCTCACCCTGGGTAACATGAGAGTGAATTAGTCTAAAAGAGAAACAGAGCTCACACCTTTAGTCCCAGCCCAAGGGAGGTGGAGACAGGAGTGACATGGCTTGGTAGAGAGAGGAATATAAGGCGGGAGGAGACAGGAACATATTGCAATCTAGGCAGTCTGAGGAGCAGGGCAGTCAGGAGATACAATCAGAGGACAGGATCACCCCTTCAGTCTGAGCACTGGTAGAGGTGAGAACTCTCTAGTGGCTGGCTGCTTTGCTTTTCTGACCTTCAGGTAAGCTTTATTAGATCACAAACAAAATATCACCATGACTACTGTTGTTTACCAGCTCTTCTAAATTGGGATCTTTCTTGTCTTACATGCAAACATTATCATCCATGATCATTATTTCCTCTCCCTCTTCCCTGAATTCTATCCTAGGGATTTGACTCCTCTCCACCCCCACATTTCCAGACCACCATTTCTTCCTTCCTTCCTTCCTTCCTTCCTTCCTTCCTTCCTTCCTTCCTTCCTTCCTTCCTTCCTTCCTCCCTCCCTCCCTCCCTCCCTCCCTCCCTCCCTCCCTCCCTCCCTCCCTCCCTCCCTCCCTCCCTCCCTCCCTCCCTCCCTCTCTCTCTCTCTCTCTCTTTCTTTCTTTCTTTCTTTCTTTCTTTCTTTCTTTCTTATCTTTTTGAAGTTGTGAGGATCAAACCCAGGGTTTGTGAATGTAGGCTCTACCACAAAACTATATTCAGCCCCTGTACCCCCTTTCTTAAGTCTTGTACAATATTTGTCACCACACAGTACAGTATCACTTTTCTTCTGTTGGCTCTTATTGTTTGAGACTATTCTTTCCCAACAGACTCTTGGTTTCTTCAAGTTGAGGACAGTGGTATGCATATTGCATTTATCAAGCCTGAGAACATGTAAATATGGAACAGGCTATAAATACCTGCAAGTCCCATATATAATATATGTAAAATTTTATATGCAAAATAAATGTGTATGCTTATAACTGGTTAATCTCAAACTCATGCATAAGATAAGGTATGTTCATGGGTCTACCTGGGTGGGAAAAGGAGTTGTTTGCATAGCCATGTCCTCTTCTGAGTAGGCCAGAATTGTCCTCAAGGACCTTCTCAGGTGCTCTTCATTGAAGTCTGGTGCTTTGCCTACCAAGGATGCTAGCGCCATGGTTACCTGCATCTTTACTCTTGCAAAGTTCTGCATCAGAAAAGATGATGTGAACAAGAGACAGTCAGAGAGTGGCTAAGGGGAGGCTCCAGAGCCAGACACAAACAGCTCCCAATGTTTCTTTCATTCCAGTCTTAAGCATTTCCTTTTCTCTCAATAAATTGTGGGCTATACTTTGCACAAGATTCACATTACTGTTTAAATGGGTTGGATGGATTGCACGCTCCCATAAATTTGTCAGGCTCCTTTAAATTTTCATTGTGTTTGGGCTGCCTCCACTCTGCAAGGTTTAAAGATTATTATAAAGTTGGTTACAGGATGCATGCTTTGTTGCCAAGAGTCTCTTCTTGGAACTTACACAGGGGCTGGAACCTTCTAAGGCAGCACTTTTTATTTTTTCTTCTTCTTCCCTGAGACAAGAATTCTCTGTGTAGCAGTCCTGGAACTCTCTCTGTAGACCAGGCTGGCCTTGAACTCACAGAGATCAGCTAAGGCAGCACTTTTGAGATTTCGGATTCTGAAGTAAGCAGTAGCTTCCTGCATCTCCTTTTCTCTCGTGACCGTGAAAAAGCACACCCATCCAAGGGCCAATGCAGCATGTCCCACAGGTTTTTAAACATTATCTCTAACATTTCATGAGGACCAGGGCTAGGGGTATTACTCAGTAGTAAAGCAAGCGATTAGCATTGTTGGGTTCTTGGTTCAATTCCCAGAATTAACACAAAACAGACAAAAATAAGACAAAGCAAAACAAAACCCTAAGGAACCCCCATTTCATCTATGGGCCCATGTATTTGCTCCTCCCTTGATCTGTAAATTCTTTTTTGAGGTTAGAGATATTTTACTTATTTTTTTTACAGAGTTTAGTATAAAAGATACTCTTTTTTTTAATTTTGGTTGGCAACTTTATTGGAAAGAGTCCTTAAAGATGCTTATTAACATGACAGCAAACAAAAATCCCAAGCATGCATTCATAAATGTATACAGACTAAAGCAAAGGTTTGCTATGAAACTGAACCCCGAAAGTGTCTACATTTCACTTAAAATTCAGATCCAAGCCAGGCACGGGGGCACATGCCTTTAATCTCAGCACTTGGGAGGCAGAGGCAGGCAGATCTCTGTGAGTTCCAGAAAATCTGGTCTATATAGTGAGTTCTAGGACAGTCAGGGTTGCATAGTGAGACCCTGTTTCAAAAAACCAAAACCAACCAACCAACCAACAAACAAACAAACCCAGGTCCAGATGACAATAATCATTTACAATTCTCATCCACAAGTCATCCTGGTACCATCCAGAACTAGTACCGATTCAGACTTTAGAACAGGACACACTTTTCTGAATCTGGAACATGTCCATGTTTGTCCCATGTGCAGGAACTTTGTGACTGCTGGAAGCATGCACCTTCCAGTCCTGCCTTAGCTTTCAAATGCTGGCGCTCACCTGCACGCTCCCTGGTGTCTTTCTCACAGGGCAGAAGTGAAAGCTACCCCGCCAACGCTACCCCGCCAACGCTACCCTGCCAACGTTACCCCCGCCAACCTATGCTTCGCATTCATGTTCTCTCGTGATCTTGGGCCACCCAGCCGGTCTGTGCTTACACTGGTGGCTCCAAAACTGCAGCGCATGAGGAGGTAGAGGGTGGCACATGCTTGGCTCCGTGTGATGTCCATGCTGCTGCTGCAGTGGTGCAGCACTCGCTGACACAGGTCAGCACATTGCTCCACTTCTTCCTCGAACAGCAAGTCTCCAAACTACAAGAGACACAGGGTGGCTGTGAGGCATCACTGGGTATTTTCACAAGCTCCGTGGCTGTCTGTTGCAACATGCAAATGTCTGTTTGGACAAGCAAAGAGCCTGAAGGGTTAATGTAGTGCTCCATAAACAAAATGGGCTACATGTGTCAGACGATGGAGGTAAGCAATGACGTTTCACTTAATTGTGAGTCACACAGCTGAGGTAAGGGCTATGTCATTAACATCACTGTTAGCCAGGTGGCATTCACTGGCGAGTGAGTTGCAGCACTGAAGGACTTACTTGTGTTTCATGGGTTCCTTGGAAATTATTGGTGACTAAGAAAGAGAAAATTATTATCATAGTGGACAGCAGAATTCCACTTCATAAATTTACAAACTCCTATGTAGAGGCACCCACTAAGATTTCCCACAAGGATGGAAAATAATCTTAATATGCTACTAATCAAAGATAGTTCTTTGGCACCTCCTAGCATTTATTATGGTCATTTTTGTCACATATAGCAATGGGAATCAGGTATAGGAATCTCACTGTGATAAGGTATTCATGAAAAGGAGAAAAACTGTAGTCTCTCAGATGGTTTTTGCTCTCAAGTCATAGACTTACGCTCCCTTCAAGTGGTCACTTGAAGTCTCTATAGTTAGGCCCACATTTCAAGGATGAGAGTCACTGTTTGTCATCCCCCACAGCTACTTCGTGACTGTCAGTGCGCCTACTTTCTTAGGAAGCGGTGACACTTTTACTCCATGCCCTCCATGTAGCTTGATCTACTTGCAGAGGAACTTGAATCTAGATAAGAATCTCACTTTTAATTAAGGGTAAGAAAACAAGCATCCCCTGTGTACCTTGGCAATGAGTGCTCGGAGAGTTGCAAAGCAGTGAGTCAGGTAGGTGGTGCTCTGATCACAGCTCAGAGAATTCACCAGGACTCGCAGGACACCTCCCAGCAGGCTGTCTTTACAGTCCAGGGCGGAGCTTGCCTGAAGGGTGGAAGAATAGCATCACTGAGTAAGGCTGAAGGCCAGAGAGGCTGTCCTGATTATAGAGAACTGGTATACCTTCTTCTTAGCTGAAAGTGTTAGTGAGCCACCGCGTATGTCATTAACAATCATGAGAGCTTAAGCTCTCTTTCCCAATAACCCTTTCCCAAAACTAACTGACTTGAGGTTTGTGCCTCTTTGGGATATTGAACAAAGTTCTAGGGGTCATCTCCCTCCAGCCTGGGTTATGGCTTTTGGAATGCTCTTTCTTTGTAGGCATGATTTTCTACCAGTGTTTCAAAAACAGTTGGGAGCTTCAAGTACAAGAGGGCTGCTTGGTGGAGGTTGTGTCTTCTAGACTGGCAGCCTATTTGTCAGCTACAGAAGGACTAATAAGGATAATAAGTATTTTAGGAAACTGCAAATTGCTTTGAAACTTGGAATCAGGTACAATGCTCTCAGAAATAGCTTGTATAAAGATGCTAAACATTTAGGGTACCAAAGTTAGGAAACTTTCAAAAGATACCCAAGTCATCCTTGGATGCTCAAGTCCCTCCTATAAAAGGGAGGTAGTATTTGTATATATAACCCACAATTCTCTCATGTACTTTAAATCATCCCTCTCTTACTTTTGGTACCTAATACAACATAAAAACACCATGCCAACAGTTGCTATTCTGTATTGTTTAGGGAACAATGATGGAAAACTAAAAAGTATGCATATACAGACCTATTTTTCAGTATGGATCTATTTTTACTCCTAAATATTTCTTATCAATGGTTGGTCAAGCCTCAGGATGTGGATCCACTGCAGTGGAAGGCTGGCTTGTACTTCCCTAAGGATGGGATGGCAAATTCACAGGACTGTCCTTCAGCAATCTGAGTATGGGACACACTATTTGTCACATGCAGCACTGTGTTTACCTAGTGCAGGCATGATGTTAGAGTGGCAATGAAGGCCAACTGAGAGAAAGCTTCTAGTCAAGGGAACATTATCTCTGGCTTGGTGAAGACCCAATATTCCAGTTATACTGGTGAATCAAAGAGACCACCCCTAGGGTGACAAGCTCACCTTAAGCCATGTTAAGGAGTTGGGCAGAGTAATTAGTCCTTTAACGAGACAGTGTGCTTTTCCTCCCCAGAATCCCTTCTCCCAGCACAGTGGCTTCCTAGGCCACAGCCATCCGTCTGTCTCCTTTTGTAAATTATTCAGAAAAGTGTAACTTCTCCTTAATCTTTCTGTCACTTTACTAGGCATACTTTCCCTAACATGGGGTCTTCCCAGCATTCTGGGCTTCCTTCCCTGCCATGTGGCTGCTTGTTTGGCATGTATATGACCTCATGGCAACTTAAATGGCATAGCTTTCTTTCCTTTTCTCCTTCAGGCTCCTCCTCCCAGAGGCAGCTGAGATTTATAACTTGTCAACTTTGGGGATTTTCTTAAAAACACTAATAAAATTGCCCTTCACTTTCTACTTTAGTCCATTCTTAAGTCCTTTTATTAAAGAGACGAAGAACCCCAGGCGGGGACCCCAATCCCTCTGTGTCATCGACAACTCAATCGGAATTTACCTACAAGGAGAAACCTAGTTACCACCCTTGTTGCAGTGTTCAGCTAAGAGCTCACTGTCCACTTTATAAATCTAGCACATACTTGACCAGTTTAACCTTGAGAGTTAGCTCCTCAAACGTCCAACTCTTCCCAAGGGAGTAGTAAAATGGTGGAGAAACCAGAGGATGCCTGGTATCTCTGGAATCTGCAAGGTAGGCAAACTTGCCCACTTTAATTTTAAAAAGGCATTCTGAAATCATATTCACATCTTTCTCAATTTTGAATGAAGAATTCCCTATGCAATTCCAAGAAATGCACCCATGAGTTGGTCAGATTGTCCTCACCTGGATGATGTTTTCCTGCATATCCAGTATGATTAAATTTGCTTCTGTTGCCAGATTGCCACTGATCAAGGCTTCTTGATCTAACTCTGCCTTTGTTCTAAGAAACAAAAGGAGGTCAAATTAAAGCACAATCTGGCTTGGCCAGGTTCCAGCAATGACAACCAATGTACCACATCACAAAGGATTCTTTAGAACAGTCAACCATGAATTAACACAAAGCGGCTGGCCTTGATGTAACTAAGGACTGCAAGTGTTTCCCGGGGTTCACATTTAGTTGGGAAGATGGTCTAGTGAAGTCTCCAGGTCATCTGTATCCTTACTGTTATTAATAGTGATGGCAATTATGAAAATAGCAAAATGGGTAGAGAAGTAATTATTGGTTGCTACTAATAATTAGGTGAGCCTATCAGATAGCTGCTTAAAGCCCCAGGGACTCATCTGCCATTCATGCATGAGCACTGTCTGAGTGGGCGTGAGGTGGGGCTGCAGCATGCTGAGAGACGGGAAGTGTCTTGAACTTGATGAACATTGGGAAGCAGAGATGCCACTGTGGAAAGGGCGATGCTACCATGGAAAGGGAGTTTCAGTTCTTAGTACTCAGAGTCCACCTGAGAAGGTGCTTAGCTGAGTGTAGAACTGGCTGTCCCTCTCCAGTGGGGAGCAAGGCTCACACCCCCTGGGCAGGGCATCAGACATTCTGCCGGAGGCTCCTGGACTAGAAACTACCAGGTAGGAAATGGACATCACTGGCACTGTCTCTTTTTCAGGTTAATTGTAAGGAGCTGGTATGTTCTATGCACTAGTCCCTCCATCCTCACAAACCAAGTGAAGCCGGGAAGGGAAAAGTGGTCTCTTCTTCCATAGCTTTGCCTTCAATGGGTCAGTTATCCATAGTCAACAGGAGTCTGAAAACATCCCATGAGAAACTGAAGAACAGACTCCAGAAATAAACCAGTCACTGGCTCTGACTTGTGTGCAGTTCCGAGTGGCATGCTGTCCTATGCCATCCCGTCGACCATTGCTTTTCCCAGTGTATCCACACTGCACATGCTACCTACATGTTATTTACTTAGTTGCTGTCTTAGTTACCAGACTGACTGACACAGTATCATACTGACATAGAGAAGGACTAGGTGCCGTTCATAGTTTTGGGTATCTACTGGAGCATATTGCCTGCAGATAAAAGGGTACTACCATCCAATTTATTTTACCATGCAAATTTAGTTTTAAGGAAAGAGAGGTAGGAAGAACTGACTTTCCCAATAGTTGCCCGTGGCTAAGATGTTACCACAGATGCTGGAGCATTATTCTATCAGCTCAAATGTCTTGAACCAGGATTACCCACAGAGTTGTTCTCCTTGGTCCTTATCTGATAACAGTTGCTTATATACCACTGAGTGCTCAGAAAGGTAATATCACACTAAGGAAAGATTCTTCAGTCCTAATTGTTTGACAAGCCTTCCCCTCATTCTCCAAATGATAGTTTATGTATAAGGTAAGTGAAATATACAAGCTTTTAAAAAATTAATTTACTGGTTAAATGTTTAAATTTACAGCAACAGGGCCAGGCGTGGTGGTGCATGCCTTTAATTCCAGCACTTAGGAGGCAGCGGCTGGTGGATCTTTATGAGTTTGAGGTCAGCCTGGTCTACAAAGCATGTTCTGGAGCCAGTGAAGACTACTTAATGAAACTCTGTCTCAAAACAACAACAGCAACCCCCTGACTGAAAAAAAACACACTTTGACTAACACTGTCCAGTAGAATGCACTAGAGGTAAGATGTATTGCTTTAGATTTTGTGTTAGTCACACCAAAAAAGAGAAAATGAAATTGATGACATTATCTTTTCTTTCCTCAAAAAGGTCTCATGGTAACTGGTTTGGGATTCCAGGCTCACCATGTAGACCAGGCTGGCCTCAAACTCACAGAAATCTACCTGCTTCTGCCTCCTAGGTACTGGAATTAAAGACATGTGCCAGCATACACAGCAGAGATTAATTTTTTATCATATTTATTTAACCCAGTACATCAAAAGTACTGTTAGTAAGTAGCAAATTAAAAATTACTGCTGGAATGTTCAATCTTATGTGCATTTTCATTTATTCTGCATCTTAATATGAAATAGCCACCTTCAAGCTTCATGGCTACATGTGGTTAGTGGCTCCTGTAATGGGTTATACAGACAGTCCTAACCTGTTTTTACAATTGTGATAAAAGACACATAGCATAAAGCTTACCACCTTAGTAATTTTAATTGTATAGTTCAGCAGTATTAAGTAATTTATATTGTCATGCAATATTGTCACTCCTCCTGGGGTGTCCACTTGTGTGGCTAGGACTTGTTTGCACACTGCAGTCACCTGTAAAGTTTGACCAACCTAGAACTGGTAGAGAATACTTTGGGACACTCTGGTGCTTGTGTGGTGGCACATGCTTTTAATTCCAGCACTCAGGAGGCAGAGGCAGGCAGACCTTGTGAGTTCAAATACAGTCTTGTTGACATAAAGAGTTGAGGGCATTGTAAGGCCCTATCCAAGGAGTAGGTGGCACTCTGGAAAATTTTCATGGGTGATTTGAATGTGTAGTTCAGGTTGAAAACTACTGCTCTAAAAGAAACAGAGCCAAACTGATTAAAATAAAGTTAAAAGAAAATGACAGAAGCTATTGTCTAAAAAGCATTAAGTTTCCAAATAGCTCTCAGTTGAGCAGTTATAATTGCCACACAGCTGAGGAAGGACCGAGGTATCATCAGTCATTGGTAATGAGTAGCCCACCAGGAGCTGGGAGCTGAAAAGGAACCTGCGGAGAGCTGGCAGGACCTGCATGGTCACAGTCCAGATCGCTAATGTCAGCAAGTGGGAAAGACTTCCTAAGGCAATTCACACAGCCCTGTCATAACATGCTTGATGCACTCTTGTTTTAATTTGGGGAGCAGATGACCCAACCATTTAAACAGTGCTCTGCCTTCTACACACACACACACCTGTTGTTGTACACTGTCTGAACCAATGACCTCACACACGGAATGAAAGCAACAGGCAAGGAGAAAGCAGTAGAGAAAGCAGTAGAGAAAGCAGGGCCAAGGGACCAGCCATGTAACTTCAAATCCATATTCCTCCCTGAAAATGGGTGCAAAAAGGTACTGACATTTAGAACCAAAGACCATAAACACCAGCTAGGGAAATCAGAGCAAGCCAAAGTACTCTAAGCAAATGGGGTTCCGATGTGACACCTGAGTCAACACCGTGACATGTCCACGCATCTTTGGACCTGACAGCTGTGGCTGTCTCCCTTCCAAGCCACAAAAGAGTATATTCTTGTTTATTGGCAAAGCATCACTGTTTAATTGGTATCAGATACTGACTTGCACGAGCAGCATCCTTCACTGTTATGAAACTATGGGATACCAGTTGTTTGGCATGCTTTTCAAAACTATTATTGAAATGTCTCTAGGAAAAATGTTTTAGAGTAAGTCTGACTCCACACAGTCCCATAAATTGACTAGGATGTATCATTCTTATGGTGATAGTAGAGATATTAGCATTTATTTATTAAGCGGCATTCAGATCTTCTCATCCCTCCCTTTGAGGAGTACGTCACACTTCACGGAGCTGTACTATCTGTGCTCAGTTGTATATGTGGGCTCTTCAACCTCAGCGAATCAGGGTTCACAAGCTACCTATGGCTGAGAGGCAGAGAAGACATACGTCATCTACCCACACATACTTAGCTTCAGCTCTCGTGTGTCTAAATTGTTATTTAGTTCTCTCTTTCCCCTTTGATGTACAATACATACACACACACACGTGCTGGCTGGTTTCTGTCAGTTTGACACATCTAGACAAATCTGGGAAGAGGTACTTTCAGCAGAGGAATTGCCTCTATTATACTGGGCTGCAGGCAAGGCTATAGAGGCATTTTCCTGATTAATGATTGATGTGGGCGTGTCCAGCTCACTGTGGGTAGTGCCACCCCTGGCCAGGTGGTCCTGGGTTGTGTAAGAAAGCAGGTTAGCAGATCACAGAGAGCAAGTCAGCAAGTAGTGTTTTTCCATGGCCTTTGGCTCAGTTTCTACCTCCAGGTTCCTACCCTGACTTCCTTCCGTCCCCTCAAGTTGTTTTTGGTTATAGTGTCTTATCAGAGCAATTGAAAGCAAATAAGACCTTCAATGTAGGAAACATAACAAATTGTGAAAAAGAAAATACAGCTGGGTGGTGGTAGAGCACGCCTTTAATCCCAGTACTCGGGAGGCAGAGGCAGGTGGATCTCTGTGAGTTCGAGGCCAGCCTGGGCTACAGAGCGAGTGCCAGGGTAGGCTCCAAACCACAGAGAGACCCTGTCTTCAAAAATAAAAAACAAGGCTACTATAAATACCCCTGACTCTCCACATTTGTACCCACTCTCACTGTGGAAGTAGAGACGAGGAGTTGCTCGCATGGCAGGACACCAGGTCCTGCTTTCTCTATTTCTCTGCTCTTCACCAGCGGCTTTCATCAGCTACCTGAGTTTGCGGAAACTGAGTTTCTTTAAACAATGGATACATTTTTTTAAGATCTGAAGACACAGCTCCTTACACCTTTGGGCATCCTGGGTAGCTGGAGCTGTATTTACAGGATATTTCATTGTCTTAACCTTGGAAGGATGCAGTTGTCCCAGAAACGCAAGTAGCCTGGGAAAAATAGTTTAAGGCTTTAAATGAAAGCTGCACAGAGCAGCCGAGTAACTCACTTATCCGTTTTCTCGTTAGCTTGCCGCCACTGTGTCTGCTCTTTCCGCCATCTCAGATTTTCATTTAGGCCTGGAAATCGGTCATTCCCTAGGAGTTAAGAAACACACGGCAGGAATTTGATTAGCCTGAAACCCTCTAAGATAACCAAGAGTCGAGCGCCAAGCTTAACTGAGAAGCCCTGGCACATTCTTCTGTGCATCAGTTTGTGCTGCCACGAGGAGACAAAGCCACCATGCTGTGTCTGTGGTGACCGGCCCTGGATGGAAAGGAGGCAGCTCTGGAAGATGCCCTGCCTTTCATAATCCCTGAGCTGGAGCTCCTGTGAGGCCCCCCTCCACCCATCCCCACTTGGTGTCAAAGGTGCTGAGCACCCTCCGAAGTCCACACCCTCCTGGTGCTATTTTCCTGGGAGCAGGTGACATTTGACTGTTTTAATGTGATGAGCTCAGGAGTTTGGGGTCCCTAGGATAGCGATATGCTGGCACTGCTTTGGGTAGACTGCTCTATCCCAGTAGCACATCGAGTGACTCAGGGATATGAACTTGGGCCCCAGCCCTCCAGTTTGTTGATCACTCCCCTCCAGGGGCCTAAGCACCAGGGAGATGATGCTTCCCTCCTCCATCAATCACTTTCTTGGATGTGGCCTTCACTTGCTTTTAAACCTTAATTAGAACGGGGCATTTGGGGACTTACAGGGTGATTCTTGCCCTCAGAGGCAGAGAACAAGCGTTCTATAAGCCAAGCACAGGATTCAGAACCTGCTGTCTCAGGGAGTGACATCCAAGGACTTTCCTTCCCACAGAGTGCAAGCTGTCCGGCAGGTGGGGAGGCCTACCTGGAGTGCGACGGCGCATCATCTCCCCGCGGGCTCCTTCCCCACGGAGCAGGGCCTCTTCCAGCTTGGCCTTGACATCCCTTGACTTCTGTAGGACTTGATTACTGACTCTGTCAGAGCTCTGCTTCCCCTGGAAGGGCAGAGGTAGAAACATTCAGTTTGGTGTTGTCTCTGTTGAAGGAGAGATTTGTCAAAAGAGAACACTCCAGGGTCATAGTGGGGAGTTTTGACATGTAGCACACAGACACTTTTCTGGAGGTTCCTATGGACAAAACTTTATTAGCAGCAAAGGGCCACTGCAATAGGCAGACATTTTTCCCGTGCAGAATGGTCACATCTGTAAATGCAAGCAAGCTACAGGCTGGAATACAGAAGTATGAAGAATGAATGATGCTACCATTTCTCAAAGGAAAGAGTAACAAGACAGGATTGAAACAAGCCACGAAGACACCCCATGCTTACCTTGTACTCAAAGCAGGAGACACAGATGAACAGCAAGTCTAAAATCCTGTTGAGCTGCATGGAAGGCAGGTCAGCAATCCACCTCCGAATGAGGCTCTGGTCAGCATTTTTCATGATCCACAGGAAGCAGATCAGGAGGTGGCGGGTGGTGTCTGCATTCAGCATGTTGTATTGCTTATAGGGCTGGAGGAGGCAAAAGGTAGGGGAAGGTCAGGGAGGAAGTCAAGCAACAGAAAAAACAAAACAAAACTGTAAGAGATGAGAACCTTTCAGAACACTATACCTACTTCTTTGCTGCCTGGGCATCTGCTTTCTGAAGCTCCATCTCCCCATGGCAAGGGAATGTTTGCTTGGTGCTCGGTAAAGGCGAACCTTGGGCATAGTTTGGGTTGAGAGCCACTGAACTGAGCACTGTCTAGTGATCTGCCCTGGACCCTGGCTGTGTTCTCCAATATCAGTGATGTAATAAAGCATTCTTGCAGCTAAGATCTCCAAGAGCGTCTTCAAGATGGCCAGTGGAGAGTTGGCCTAACCAGACACGATGACTAATCCAACAGTTCTGCTTCACATCAAGATCATGACCTGCTCAGCACACGGATCAAATTCATATGTTTATGAAGCCATTTGCAATGGGACTTACGCCAAAATTCACCCAGGGGTGGGTGGGTCCTCAGGCTGTAATTCCTTAGGTGCAAGTTCATTGGAGAGTGCTGCTAAGCACACTTGCTCTAACTCATAATACCAAGACAGGCAACAAAATACAGCTGTGGCCTTGCTTCGTGTGGTGTAGCCAATATTCAGTGGAATGTGGAAGCAACATTACAATAAGGAATTTGTGAGTTATGTGAAGGAAACACTAGTCTTGGATGGAAAGGATGGATGACTAACTTAGTTTTGCTTAAGGTATTCTGAATATGTTGACAGGAAATGAGAATCTTCAGCTAAAACTTCACAGGGAATATGTTCTAACAGGTGAACTTCTGGCTTTTATACTCCTTATAGGCAATTAATATAAAAGGCACATACTGCCCTGAGCAGGTCATTTTGGTAAGGAGGATTATTCTAATGTAGAGAGTGGTCATAAGGTACACTGCTGAACTCTAAGATTAACAATGAAAAATCTCATGTGTCCCAACTCTCTGACTCCCAACCCTCATGGACAAGGGGAAAGGGGCTGAGGCTGCTAAGGGCTAAGCGCTAAGTGCTAAGACAAAAAATGTCATCTAGTAAAGTTGTATCAAGACCCCACCTCACTCAGAAAACCAAGCAAGTTTCTTGCAGATTCAGATCATATGTTAAAATGCAAAATGAAATCGACCGCCTAGCTCTTGCAAACCCTAGGTTGCCCTAGGCACATCCCTGGGATTATAAAATCAAACACATCAACTCAAGGGATCTTCTTGTATCACCTTCCCAGTGATGGCATTACAAGTGTATACCACAGTGTCAGAAATTTTTATGTGAGTTCTGGGAATCAAACACAGATCCTTGTGTTTGTATGACAAGAACTTTACTGACTAAGCTATTTCTGCAACCCCAGTCTCATTATTTTATAAACTAAATAACAACACTGAGCTAGAAGATGTGCTATTTTGACAAGAAATTGAGTGTATCACCAAACATACGAGTCACACCTCAAGTGCAGCAGAGAATACATGCCACAAAGAGCCCTTCTGTCAAAGGACAAACCACACAAATCTTCTTAGGCTCTCTGGAGACTTAGGAAAGCTGATGGCTTTTGCTTTGGAAACTCTGGTCCCTTCAGTTATTGGAGGCAAACATTAAGACACTCAATCTCTTGTGGAAACAACACTTCAGCTTTTAGCTCAGTAAGCCCAGCCTAAATTCGATGGAAGGATGCTTTGGCTTGATCTTTTCTGTAATGATTTCAGAGTTTCCAAGTTCTCCTCCCTGAGAGTTTTCTGTACCTAGCACCCTGGGACTGGCTAAATGTGACCTGTGCACCTCTTGCTAGAGCCACGACTGTCTGAGCAGTGTGTTTCTCGGCTCTCAGCCTCTTTGATTCCTGTAGCACAGTGGGGAGGCAGAAATCCTCTCTGCTCCAAGCTGGGTTCCACTAGAAGTCAGGAGGGGGACACACAACAAGAAATGATCTCAGGGAATGTATACCAACATACCAAGGAAGACAGCATTGCTCCACTTGTCTTCAAGTTAAAATGATTCCCTGCTATGGCCAGGGCCACATTCTGGTTGATTCCATTGGCCACATCTTGTTCTTCGTATGAGCCGCTGGCACGGCTCCTCCCACTGCGAGCATCTGCAACTGCAATGGGTGATGTCAAGCCATAGACCACATTTCCATGTCTTCAACCCAACAAGAGACAGAAGTGTCTTAGTTACTAAAGTCAGCAAGTAATCCGAGACCTGGTGCTTACCATAATTTATCTTCAGAAAAAGCAGACAGGCTTAAAACAAGCTTAGGCTACAAATAAATTTTTCAAGTGTTAAAAAGAAAAGCTTTCAAAGTTTTGTAATACTTCTCTGTGTTCTGTTCTGTATTTAAAACAATAATGTTTATTTTTTAAGATTTATTTATTTATTACATATACAGTGTTCTGCCTATGGCAGAAGAGGGCACAAGATTGAATTGTAGATGGTTATGAGCCACCATGTAGTTGCTGGGAATTGAACTCAGGACCCCTGGAAGAACAGTCAGTACTCTTAACCTCTGAGCCATCTCTCCAGCCCCCAGTACTGTTTATTTTAAATAATGATCCAGTAAAATGGGACCTGTAACTACAAAATAAGTACCTTGCAGAATAATATGCTATTATAATAATACATCATACACTAAAATTGTTTTAAAAATCTAGGCAAATACTAATTTATTATGGCCATATAGTAGGCATGTCTATATTTACAGAAAAGCCAAACTTGTCAAAGGTAATAGATGCAGCAAAAGTTAGAATTTAAATGTATCTTTAACATTTTATATTTTAGAATTTTGCTACATGTACATCTGTGTATTACTTTCATGACTTGATGACCTCAGAGGCTACAACAGGTCATCAGAACTGGAACTGGAGTCACAGACAGGTGTGAGCTGCCATGTGGGTCCTGGGAATTGACCCTGGGTCCTCTGGAAAAGCAGCTGGTTCTCTTAACCATGTCTCCAGCCCCATTAGCTGTATCTTTAAAAAGATTTGTTTTTATTCTGTGTGTATATGTTAGTGCCTGCATGCATGTCTGTGTACTTCATGGGTTTGGGTTGGTCAGAAGAGGACATCAGATCCTCTGGAACTGGAGTTAAGGGCAGATGTGAGGTGCTGCCAACCAAACCCAGATCCTCTGCAAGAGCAGGTGCTCTTAACTGCTGAGCTTTGCCCCTGCTAATTCACAGGAGGAAACAACTACTTCCATAGGAATGCTTGCTTCTCACTTTACAATTTGCATGAATTAAAGGTTCTAGGTGATTGTTCTCATCTTGTGTGTGTGTGTGTGTGTGTGTGTGTGTGTGTGTGTGTGTGTGTGTGTAAACATATGGATGCGCATCTGGAGGCAAGAAGATGACCTTGTTTTGTTCTTCATGCACTGCCCACTATTTTTTTTTCCTGCTCGGCTGACTGGAGAGCTCAGGGATCTTCTTGTATCACCTTCCCAGTGATGGCATTACAAGTGTATACCACCGTGTCAGAAATTTTTATGTGAGGTCTGGGAATCAAACACAGATCCTGGTATTTGCATGATAAGCACTTTACTGACTAAGCTATTTCTGCAACCCCAGTCTCATTATTTTATAAACTAAATAACTGTTACTGTAATGGTTTTACAGATGACTAGTCACACTGCACTGGAGTAAGTGGGACACTCAGATGGTTCTCTAAGACTCAATGGTGACGCCGTCCGTGTAAGGACTGCTGGGCTCAGGCAGGCATTCTACAGACTCTAGACCATTCATCAGCAAAACGCCAGCATGGTAACCTCTATAAAGGCACAGAGCAAGGGCTATTCTGAAGCGATCAGAATAGTGTACATCCACTTACATTCTCTAGCTACATGTATGTCTGTAACAGGATCATAAATCCAGGCAGTGGGAACATTTAAAAAATTATGTTTACTTCTTGTAGTTAAGTAAGAGATACTGACCTCAGACTTGACCTCTTGTTGCCCAAAGCAAACCTTTTTTTCTGCTGTGGCATAATTTCCTAATACTGAAAGACACCATGACTTGTGTCTCAATGGGTTGGCACAAAGCAAAAGTTGTTTGGTTTCAATTACTCCCTTGTAAGCACCGTGGAAGAAAATGAACATGTTTATCTGAAGGCAACAGAGCAGTGATCCCAAAAGAGAGTAGTGAACTCTGTTCTATTTCATCCTTTCGCGGCACAGTTAATGGCACCCACCAGAAACCAGCAGATCGATGTATGAATATACAAATAGTTTGTCACAAAAAATACATATAAAGATGTGTTTTAAAAACCTGTCTGGGAGCTGGACAGTGGTTGAGCACACCTTTAATTCCAGAACTCAGGAGGCAGAGGCAGAGGCAGTGGCAGATGGATCTCAGTGAGTTCCAGGCCAGCCTGGTCTACCAAGTGAGTTCCAGAACAGCCTCCAAAGTCACAGAGAAACCCTGTCTCAAAAACTCCACCCCCCCAAAAAAACAAGAAAAACCTGTCTGGGTCAAAAAAGCTCTAGCGACCCTGCTGTGAAGTGTTGCCTACACAAGCCATCCACACTAGAGCTGGTGAGAGACCTTGCTTTCTGTGTGAGGGGCACGTGGCAGGGTCTCACTGATCTCAGACAGGAAACAGAAGGTCCTTACCTGTAAAGTCATAGAGCTGTGGCAGGGCGTCCAGGATGATACCCACCAAGGGCAGGTAAAGGGCGGCGATTTTGACTTTGACTTCTGGTTTGAGACACCGTGGATCCAGGTCGTGAGAACTCAGGAGGCTGTGGATGGCGCTCACAGCTTTTCTCTGTACTCTGCTGATTCTGGTGATATAACATTGAGAAACCAGGCTACAGTGAGGGAGGCTGTGTGCCCTCAAGGGAAAGAGTTCCCCCAAACAGCACTGAACAGTTGGGTGACAATGGGAAAAGCAGGCAAAACAGGCTAGAAGAGAGGCTGCCTGGGTTACAATCCTGGTCTATTGTTTAGCTTTCTGTTTTCAAGTTCATCACATCACGTGAGTACTTCGTTCCTTTCGGATACTGAATAACATTCCATTGTGCACAGAGAATAATTTCATTTATCCACTCATCAACTGATGAACGTTTGAGTTGTTAACACTTTGGGACTCTCGTGAATGATGGATGCTCCTCGTTTTTTGTGTAAGTATAAGTATGTATCTCTTGGGTATGTCCCTCAGTAAAACCACTGGAACCATAACTGTTTTTACCTTTAAAGGACTAAGACCCATTTCATGGTTTCTTCACCATGTCACATTCCCAGCAGCCGTGTATGAATGCTCTAGTATCTGTCTTTTTCTTTATCCTCATCATCATCTCTCTGGGGGGGGGGTTAGAGACAGGGTTTCTATGTGTAGCCTGGGTTGTCCTGGCACTTGTTCTGTAGACTAGAATGGCCTCAGACTCAGAGATCTGCCTGCCTGTGCCTACTGAGTGCTGGGACTAAAGGTGTATACCACTACCATCTGGTTTCTTTCTCCCTTTCTCTGTCTCTCCCTTTCTCTGCTTCTCCCTCCCTGCCTGCCTGCCTGCCTGCCTGCTTTTAATGATGGGGATTGAACCCAGGGTCTAGCATGTGCTAGGCAAGTAATCTACCATTTAGCCACACCTCAGCCTCTCTGTCTTTTTATCGTAACCGTTCTAGTAGGCAGGATGTGGTATTTAGTCATGGTTTCAATGAGGCACTGGCCTGACAATGATTTTGAACATCTTTTCACGTGCTTATGATCACACCTTCTTTGGGAAATGTCTGTATCAACCATTTGCTCAGAGTGGCACATGCCTTCAATTCCAGCGCTCAGGAGGCAGAAGCAAGCAAATTTCTGTGAGTCTGAGGCTAGCCTGGTCTACATAGCGAGTTCAGGACAGCTGGAGACCCTGTCTCAACAAACAAAAAATTTAGGTATAGCTGGGGTGACATAGCATTTGGGAGACTGAGGCAATAGGATCATGGGTTTGAGGCTAGCCTGGGCTACACAGTAAGACTTTGTTTCAATCAACAAAAAACAAGCAAACTGTGTGTGTGTAATTTCTTCATATATATAAATTCTTCATTAGATCTGTAACTTGTAAATATTTTTGCTCTTTCTGTGGACCTGTGGATTATCATTTAATTTTCCTATTTAATTTTTGTTTTGGGATAGTCTCATTATATAGTTCTGACTGACTCAGAACTGGCCTCACAGAGCTCCTCCTGCCTCTGCCTCTGAGTGCTGAGATTAAAGGTGTTCACCACCATGCCTTCCTCTTAATTTTCTTGATGGTCCTAAGAATCACACTCATTGCAATATTAACGAAACTCAATTCTGTTTTATCTTTTGTTGCTCAGACTTATTTTCAGATGCCACTGACTAGTTTAAGTTATGAAGACAAGCTCTCTGATTCTTCCTTATCTATGCATTCCACAGGTTTAAGTCTTACACTGAAGCCTTAGGTTTAGTCCATTTTTATCTATAGTGTAAATGAGGGTTCACTATTTTTTTTTGCATGTGAATATCCAGAAGCATTTGTTGAACTATTTCTCCCTCACTGAACTGTTAAGGGTACCAGTCAAAACTCAATTGATGAAAATGTTAAAATTTACTTCTGCATTCTTTTTTTTTTTTCCTGAGACAGGGTTTCTCTGTGTAACAGCCCTGGATGAAATGACAGACTCTGGAGATCCACCATGGAGGGCCTCACCCTCCCTGGAGATTGGAGTGGAGATTGGGTGGGGGACTAGGGGGTTGGGTGGGGAGGGATGAGGAGGAGGGGAGGGAGAGGGAGCTGGGATTGACATATGAAACAAACTTGTTTCCAACTTAAATTTTAAAAAAAGGAAAAATAAAATAAATTTGCACATAAAAGTTTACAGAAAAAAAAAGAATCCAGAAGTAAGGGCAAATGGATCTCTGTGAGTTTAAGGCCAGCCTGGTCTACAAAGTGAGTTCTTGGACAGCCATACTTCTGGATTCTTAATTTGATTATACTGACTGATGTATCTATTTGTGTTTTAGAACCATAAAGTCAAGTAGTTGGCTTTGTTGTAAATTTCAAAATGAGGAATGTGTATTCTTCAACTGAATTCTTTTATAAATTTTGTTTTGGCTACATTGGTTTTCTTGACTTTCCATACACATTTTAGGAAGAGCTTAATTACTGCAGTGAAGTCAGCTGGAATTTTGAGAGGCGCTGCATCAAACCCACAGGTCAACGTATGGAATGGCACCACCCCAGCAATATTATATGCACTGACTGGTCAGCAGGTGAGGTGTACTATGTAGCTCTCTTTCTGGCAACACTGTTCTGTGGTTTTCAGTACCCAAGCCTTATACTTTGTTTGCTGAATTTGTTCTTGAGTACTAGATTTTTTTTGGGGGGGTTAAATAACACTGTTCTCTTAATTTCATTTTCAAGCTGTTCATCACAAATATAAATAATTACAATTTATTTTTATATTGGCCTTGAACCTAGCAACCGCGGTCTTGATAAATCCAAAGAGGTTTTTGAATTACTGACTTAAAATTTTCTATATATAACACCAGGCTGTATATGAGAATGAAGATGTTTTGCTTCTTTCCCATGTGAATAACCAGTCTTTCATGTCTTTTGTCCTAAGACAGAACTCTTAGCACAAGGGCAAACAGCAGTGACAGACATGGAAGGTTTTGTTTGTTCCTGGTCTTAGGGGGAAAACTTATGTTTTCCACCAGTGCTCAGGTGAGCTGTGAGTTTTCCAGAGGCCAGGATGAGGCTGAGTACGGTCTCTGTGATCAGCACTTTCTAGGCAGTAGAACTACAGTCTGTCCAGTGCTTTTTCCTGCACCTGTTAAAATGATTGTGTGGTGGTCAGGTGGTGGTGATGCACGCCTTTAATCCTAGCACTCAGGAGGCTGAGGCAGGTAGATCTCTGAGTTTAGGCCAGCCTGGTCTGCAGAGTGAGTTCTAGGACAGCCAGGGCTATACAGAGAAACTCTGCCTTGAAAAACCAAAGGGGAGAAAAGAAAGAAAGGAAGAAAAAAAATCTAACCAGTACAATAATCACATACACATGTTTGCTTATTTAAAGATAGTAAGTTAAAATTAAAACTAAAAAGTCAACTGTATTTCTAGCCCAAAGAAGTGACTTCTAGGGCCACTGAGATGGCTCAGCTAGTAAAGGTGCCTTCTGCCAAACCTGAGGCCTTGATTTTGATCCCTGAGATTCACATGGTGGAAGAATTGACCTCTGTCAATTGTTCACTGACCTCCACATGAGTAATGTCATACACATGCTCCCATCAAAACAAATAAATAAGCACAACTTAAAAAGAAAGGAATGACTTCTAGATAGGCACAAAGGGATATACCTTTAATGCTAGTACTCAGGAGGCTGAGAATTACTGAATTGGAGGCATTGTGGGCTATATATCGAGACCCTGACTAAAAAAAAAACAAAAGAAAATAGCAACTTTTACTTTAAAAATTATTATTATTGTTGTGTGTGCATGTGTAGAGGTCAGAGGCCAACTCTGTGGAGTCGTTTCTGTTTTTTCACCTTTAGTGGATTCTGGGGATCAAACTCAGATGTCAAGTTTATGTGACATCACACAAGCACCTTTAACCCACTGAGCCAACTTGCTGCCCTCACCCTTTTTAGTTTTCAGCAAAAGTTCAAACCAGAAACTTTTAAATGTTCATTTTTTAGCAGACAAATTATACTATCTCTACACAAAGTCACAGAGTTGAAATAAAAAGAAACATGCGCAGTCATACCAAGGTGCTCACGGCACAATGCTCAGCAAAGAATATGAAGTTCCACAATTGGTAAGGCCAGTCTCTGGTGGCAAAGGTCAGAATAGTGGTTAGCTTGATGGAGGACTGTGACTGAGAGGGGTAACAGAATATTCTGGACTACTACAAAATCTCCTATGGCTACTTAAAGAACATTCGTAGTGAAAAACCATTGCACGTCACAATTATGTTTAAGGTCCCTTATTGCATGTAAGTTATACTTCAATAAAAATAAGGAAAACCATGCATCCAGCATAGCATTTAGAGCACAGCTGTGGCAATTCAACTTCAAAAGTGTAATTTCTCCATCTCCAAAAAAGCCTATTTTCCTTTACCTCAAATGAAATAATGCCCCATCAGAATCCAGAGGAGATAGAAAATATCAACAAATTTTCAACTGGCCTAGATTCCTCCACTGAATAGGCAACTATAAGCTTCATTTTGAAAGGTGCTCTTTTTTTTTACACAGTCCTGGCTATCCTGGAACTTGCTGTGTGAACCAGGCTGGCCTTGAACACAGAGATCTGCCTGCCTCAGCTTTGGGGTTAGAGGCATGCGCCATCACACCAGCTTGGAAGGTATTCTAGTTCTGAAACTCAGCCTGTTGGCTCCAGCAGTGTCTTTTGGACAGGTGCTGCACTTACCAGTTAAAGACATGAGGCAATTTCCAAATGCTCCAGGCTCATTTGATTTACTGAAGCATGGACACTTATGGATAAGCCCAAGTATAAGATGGCTGTGGCTGCTCATGTGGGGATAGAGATGGATCCCATGAGCCCTTGCACCTTTAGAGTTGGGGCAGATGCGGGCCAGTCTTTTAACTGCCTCGGCAGCAAAAGGCCACACTGACCGCTGGGGAGCTGTGCTAAAGGGTGGCGGTTTTCTAAGGTTTAGCCCTCATACTGCAGCCTTGACAGTATTTCCAATGGCTTTCTAGGAAAGTAACTGAGGGATGGCTGTGCTGCCCGGACACTGAAGCTGCTAATTAGCTCCTCTCTGGGTGCGTTTGAAGACCATATCAATCTTATTAGACATAATTACACCATCTCCCAGCAAACTCTCCCTTATTGCTAGTAATACCCCAACAATTTTACAAGGATCAGAAACAGATGTCAGGCCCGTTTCCAAGTGGAACAAAAATGGAAAATCAAAAACCACTGCTAATGTGAACACAAGAGATACTCTCAGAAATCACTTAAAGCCGCAGTATTTATTAAAACACAATTAAGAAATGAAAACAGGGACTTTTTTTTCTGTTTACAAACTTTCTTCTCTCAGGACCTTATCAGCAACTATCCTAGAGCACTTCTTGTTGCTGAGAAAATATGTTAGCTTTATTGACAGAAAATTCTACTGGGAAAACTGGAGATCAGTTAGAGTAGAGATATGATAATGAATGTGAGCCATGAGCCAATGAGTGAGGCACCACACTGCCACGTGCAGGTGCTCAGATACACACGCGAGAGGATGCCTGTAGCATCTCTCTTGGCCTGGGGAGGCTTGTCTACAAGAAGTGTAATCTAGACACGGGACAGCAGCTTTCTTATTAGGTATCACTTCCTTTGCTGGCCTTGGGCAGTGGCGTCTTAGTATTTCCTCTGGGTGTACTCACCTTGTCAAAAGAGACCTTGAAGGGCTGGGGATGAGCTTAGTGGATGAGCTCTTGGCCAGCATGTGCAAGGCCCTGGGTCCACCTGAGGTGCAAGTTCCACCTCAGCAACCCTCTTGCAAAATGGTTTTCCCTAGGGAATTCGCTAACAAAGCATTCTCTGTAAACTCTGCTCAAAAAGAGGACTTTTAAGGACCCATTCTGAGGTGGGCTTGGTGGCACATGCCTTTATTCTCAGCGCTCCAGTGGCAGAGGAAGGTGGATTTCTGAGTTTGAGGTAACCTGGTCTACAAAGAGAGTCCCAGGACTCAAGACAAACCCTGTCTTGAACCACGCCCCCCCCCAAAGTCATTTGGGGGCTGTGGATGAGCCTCAGGGGTAGAGTGCACACCAAGTGTGTGATGCTCTGGGTTCAATTCCCAGTGCAGTAAAAACAAGGTCATTCACAGATCGTCTAATCCCCTCGCCCGTCTATATATGCCCCATGAACCATCAAGACAAGATTGGAACTAGTAAGTGGTGGAGTTCTGGGGTCTTGTCACAAACACGACTGGAAACTTCGTTAATACTTTTTCCTTCATGTTCCACTTTAGGTGTGGGACACTTACCCGTCCCCTTCAGAATCCAGGGCAACAGCCAGCTCTGTGAAGAGGAGCCCCGTGAGAAAGTGCTGCTGCCGGTACTCCGGGGTCAGGTCGAACATGCTGGCAATCTTTTGATCCTGGAAACTGGAGCAGGAGCTTGAGTTCTACAAAACACAAACAGCAGCTTGATGAGTATTAGGAACTGGAATCCAAACAGCCCTGGCTTGCATTTACAGAGCTCTGGCCAGATACTGCATGCACTGACTGGCTAACACGAATATGAGAACAAAGCACGCAGGGCCTGTAGAGAAACTAGGCTGGGGTAGAGCTCAACAGTAGAGCACGTGCCTAACATTGCTGGGTTCCCAGAACAGCCAAACAAGGGGGAGAAGAAAAGAAAATCAGTTAATGTCCTCCTTGCTCACCCATATCAAAAGTTCCAGATGAATAAGCAGCCCAGGATAAATGTAGACAGAGAAAGGAGGACTATACCCAGCCCCATGCTATAGCCTGTTTTCCCAGAGCCCTTTCTGAAGGTTGCCTGAGAACACTGTCTGGATGATGGTAGCCTGAACCAGAAGTGGTGTCTGGCATAGAAATGCCAGAGTTGGCAGTCCTAGGCCATTCCTGTCCTGTGTTCTTACTCCAGGAGCATGGCATCCTTCACCAGGGGCAGAAGAAATCAGTGTCTCTGTAAGTCCTTGCACTTTGCTGTGTAGGGTCCTTGTCAAGCCTTTGGGACAGCTAGGAGAGGACCCAGGGCAAGGTCAATGTGGGGTAAGTGACAGGCTCATCCCACAGAAGAAACGATAGCAGACAGATGATGATGCATTTGGAATTGGTCCTTGTAAGTCACATGTGTGCCGGATCACATTATGATAGTCATGTAGCTAACTAAAAGTATACCATCTGGAACAGATAGCTAAGCTAACTTCTTTTTACTACTAAACTACTATTATTCCTATTATGAAAAATGAGGCTTCCTACATTTCTCAGGCTGATCTGGAACTCTTGGACTCTGGCGATCCTCCCCCTGAGCCTCCGAGCCCTGGAACTATAGGTACATATCATTGTGCCTCTCATTAACAAGAAATTAATTAGATGAACCCTTACCTTTGTGCTAAGATCAAGGATACACAGCAGAATAGAATCTAATGCTATCCTGAAATATCCTGCCTGCTGCTCTGAACATCTGATTTGTTTCTCACATACAGAACGTGACTGTAAACATTTTCTAGAGGACACTAATTCCTTGAGAAACCCATGGGGGGGGTGAGGTCATTTCCACAGTCAAATCATGTTGGGAATCATTACTTTTTATACCCTTCCCCCTCCAGCACCTTTTCCTTTCAAAGGCATTTGACAAAGAAAGGAGGTTAAAAGAGTTTTCAAAATCACTTGACTTTGGAACCCTGTACTTGCAAATACATTAAACCTGTATTTACATAATATATTGTATAATAATCAGTTAATACCAACACAGGAGGACTTGAGATTTATCTAAGTTTCCTCATTTTTTAGACTTACAGATTCCTTCCTATATAGTCAGACTCATTAGGGACCCTTCAGGCAAACTACTTGTTTTGTCAATTATCAGTTAAGATGCTACAGCTTCAGGGGAGCCTATTGCCCATACGTGGATCAACTGATCTGGTTTGAATAGCTTGATTCTTTTCCTCTAACTACTGAGACCAATATTTACAGGAGAGGCACAATCGAACTAAGCTAATTAACAAACTAGCTTGACTCTTTCCTTCAGTCAGTGGATTACCTGGGAGGATATGGAGGGACAGGGAGATGCTGGCGCAGTGTCTGTATTCATGAAGAGGAGGTTCAGGTTGAGGTAATGCTCATGGCTACAGAGGATTCTCAGGAACTCCAGCCGCATGGAAATGAGCGTTGGAAGGGTATTAAGCTTGGCGGATAGCTGGAAGGAAATACACAGAGGAAAGAAATGCTGAGGACAGGGAAACTGGAGTCGAGTTTAGCAGACACCAACATATTCTTTCTCTGCCCGGTAAGACATAAATTTGAGTATAAGTTAATCTGAGGGAGCAACAGACACCATTGTGGGAGCCCCAGCCAGGTTTCCTTTACTACTTCTCCTAACAGCAGCCCCAAATGAGAACTCTTCTCCCACTCTCAACGGTGTCTAATCAATGTCACAGCAAACCTGTGAAGAGAAGAAGCTTGAGACATGTCCTCAGCATAGCACAACCCAACACATCTTCTGACAACTCTACTTGCATCTAAAGGCCGAACTAAAAACCGCCACCAAAACGTGACACATTGACAGTTGAAGAGGGTATTGGGCAGGGCAGGTGGCTGTGGATGGCTTTACTTCCATTTTGAATGAAAAACAGCTCATCCCGCACAGCTATCTGTGCCCTGATACTCTAGGGTCACCTTCCCCACATGCATCCTAAAGCTTTGAAACAGATGGACTTGTATTTGTATGCATACAGTGCCCTGGAGCACAGCAATTCTGCAGCATTTGATGTCATTTACTCTGGTGGGCTCTTCCACAGGGACAGGCAGTTAGAGGTGGAAGATGGGAAACCTTAGGATTCTCTTCTTACTCAGGGCATCCTTTGGGGAGCTCAGGGTTGATGTACTTTGGGTGGAAGGGGTGTTATAGAAATAAGCAGGGACCTCTGTGTGTCGACTCTAAGTTGTGTGCACACTTCCTCAGAACCGACCACACCAGCACACACCATACTTGAATTTTTACACATTCAATTATTTGAAAATCAGCCTCAAATAGATTTTTTTGAGCACTTAAGGGAATTTCTAATATGAAAGAAGTAATTCCCCATCATGATTTGAAAAAGTATGAGAAACAGAACAAAGTGATACAAACCTTAGTAGTTTAGGATTTACTTTTATGAAGGCATGTTGACAAATCTTAAGTGTTATGTTTGTGTTTTAAACATGGTAACATATAAAGCACAACACATTTTAATGTTAAATCTCTTCTCCTATGCCCCATATGGATTTAGATGGTAAGCATTTCACATTTTAGTGAAAGAATTTTTAAATATTCAATGTTTATGACATATCTTAATATTCATTATCAAAATCACTATAGTATTTAAAGTATTAAAATCAGTTATCCTTCTATACCCCTCTTTTTCAAGACAGGGTTTCTCTGTGTAATAGTTCTGGCTGTCCTGGAACTTGCTTTGTAGACTAGGCTGGCCTTGAACCTGCAGACATCTGTCTGCCTCAACTTCCTGAGTGCTGGGATTGAAGGAGTGTGCCATCACTACCCAACAGGGCTATCTTTTCTTGATCATCCTAAAATTTGTCAGTTTGGATTAATCTTCAAATTTTTAGGGCATGAAAGTTTATGAATAGACTCCCCAGGATATCTTAAAGCAGATAATTTTGTTTAGTTAGGACAGAAATGTCTTCAGCTTTCAGATATGTGAAAAAAATATCCTAACCAAACATAAAAAGTATTGTGGGCCAAATAATTTATTCATAAAAATATTAATAGATCCATCAATTTAAATAAAATTTGAAAGCATTAAAGCCATTTTTATTTTATAGTTATAAAATAATGCATTGCCGGCGTTGGTGGCACACGCCTTTAATCCCAGCACTTGGGAGGCAGAGGCAGGAGGATCTCTGTGAGTTCGAGGCCAGGCTGGACCGACAGCCTCCAAAACGGAGAAACCCTGTCTTGTAAAACCAAAAAAAAAAATAATAATAAAATAATGCATTTATGTAGTAGAGGAACACAAGAAAACTTACAGTAGGAAATTCAAACTATTTTAACTCCACTAAGAAGAAATCTGCAAGTTAAGGCATTACTAATATATCTTTAAAATATGTCTTATTTGTAATCTTAAATGCACATGAGCTGTTTGATATATAATTTAACACTTAAAAGCATTGCAGCTAAATTATTTAATAGTATTGCTAGAATGCTAACTCTCTTGTTAGATACAACACTACACTCTACAGTTTTCAGTTAAGAAGAAATCACTTGATAGGGAGCTTCTGCCCTCATTTTTTGAGACGAGGTCTCACTACGTGGCCTTGGCTACGTGGCCCAAAACTATCTATATAGACCAGGTTGGCCTTGAACTCACAGAGATCTACAGGCCTCTGTCTTTGTGAATGCTGGGTTAAAGTTAGCCACTTGATAGTGGTAGTCAGAATTCATGGCTGACTAATGAGAATTTATGAAGTGTTTTAAGTGATGCAGGCACCAACAGCATCTGCCAAGTGCTCACTGTGCAGTTCAGCACATTAGCAGCCCCCAGCCTAGAACCAGACAGACCTCTGCAGCTGCATCGCATTTTCTGTGTGAAACTGAACAACAGCAGTGGGTTTACAAAGACAAGCGTCTTCCTGAGTTTCTTTTCCAAGAGCAGCCCAATGGGCTGCAGAGATGACTCAGCTGTTGAAGACTAGGCTCTCAACTAAAGCATCAAGAGCAGCTCAAACCCAGAATTTCAGTCCCCAGCACCTACTCTGCTACTTCCTACTGGGAAGGTAGAGACTTGTAGTCATTAGGTGCTTACAGCCCCTCCAGCTCTGTGACCCAGATTCCCCACTGTGCTGCAGAGCAACCTCACCTGTCACCGCTCCCTTCCAGCACGCGTGTGTGCGCACCCACAGACAGACAGACACACAGACAGACACACACACACACAGACAGACAGACAGACAGACAGACAGACAGACAGACACACACACACACACACACACACACACACACACACACCCCAAGTCTGAGCTCTGGCCACACTTCCTTAGAAGTTCCTGGTCCCCTGGATGCTTGGTGGCCCCTCACTGGAAGTCTCTGAATGGTCTCACTGGGAAGGGCTTTTCCACTCTTGTAGCCTGTGCAGTAAGCTCCCGTGTCACTGTCTTTTCTGGTCACACCTTTCTCCTGGATAAGGTGCCATAATCCTCAAAGCTCCACAGAGGAAAGCCCTTGCATTTTACAAACAAGGAAGGGACAGCCTTAGAGACAGAGATTGAAAGCCGTTACACTACTACTGAGAGTGATGATGGTGATGACAACTTGGAAAAGGGGGCGGTTGTTGTGGTTATGGTAACAGCTGTAGCTGTGGCGAAGAGAAGAAATAAGGAAGGAGAGTAGCAACAATAACTGTTGCTTATATTCTTATTGCTAGGACATTCTAAAGGGACTCAAGAAAGAACTACATTCAAAACTTTGGGGAGAAAGCTGGGCATGTGGTACAAGTCTTTAATCCCAGCACTCAGAAGGCAGAGGCAGGCCAATCTCTATGGGTTTGAGGCCAGCCAGGTCTACACAGTTCTAGGACAGCCAGGGCTACATAGTGAGATCCTGTCTCCAAACAAAAATAACCTCTGGGGAAGAGTTAACACTGATATGTTACGCTGCATTTTTAAAAAATGTGCTTTGTGTTCCTGGGAATTCAATCGCTGTGTTCATTGTTTTTTTTTTTAAACATTAGAACTCCACAACCACAATTTAATTAACAATTCTAACAAGTGAAAATTTTCTCCCCTTCTCCTGTGTGTGTGCGTGTGTGTGTGTGTGTGTGTGTGTGTGTGTGTGTGTGTGTGTGTGTGTGTAGGCCAAAAGTTATGTCAGTTATTTTCTTCTATAGCTTTCCAGCAAGCCCCTGGGATCTGTCTATCTATGCTTATCTCCACTTCCAATCTGTCTCCAGGAGCACTGAGGTAAATTGCATCTGTTGCCAGCTATTAGGTAGGTGCTGGGGCTCCAAACTCAGGTCCTCATGCTTGCAGAACAAGCCTTTAAGCTACTGAACCATCTTCCCAGTCCCAAACCTTGAGTGCTCTGGTCAAAGATCAAATGCACAGTCCTGTAATTTCTCTTAAATGTTAACTAGTAGAAACCATGTTGTTTAGAAATTTCAGTTTCCTCACATTGACTTGTTGATAGCTTTGATCCGTGCTCCAGGAATCCAGGTGATCCAGTGTAGTTAAAGAACCCACACATTGCACAGAGTGAAAGTTCAAGATGTGTAGGGGGGGTCACAGTGCGTGCGTGCGCACGCACGCGTATATACACACACGCATGCACACACACACACACGCACACCATGACAGGGAGGAGGGGCTGAATTGGCAGCTCCAAGGGCACTCACCTGGTTGCAATAATGCTTGATGAGGTTGAACACGAAGCCTCTGTCCATGAGTGAGAGAAGGTCATACAAGAAGAAAGCCAGGCTGATGTTGATCTTCTCTGCCTGCTCACTTTCCTTTAAAACGAGCACAGAAGCATACAAATCATCCTGCTGGGTCCTGGACAGGAACTCCCAGGTCCCTGATGTGGACACTGGGAGAGGAAGATGCTATTATGTTGGTCTACCACCCTTCCGGGTGACGTTGAACATTTAGATTTTTTTCCCACTCCTCTTGTTTTGTACATGTATAATTGTAAGTATATAATCAGCCCTAATCTATATATACAATCTGGGGCTCTGAAATTTTATTTTTTATTGTTTTGGTTTTTAACATGGAGTCATGCCATCTAGTCCAGGCTGGCCTTGAACTCCTGATCCTCTTGCCTTAGCCTCCTAAATCCTGGGAAGATAAACATTTGATACCATACCCAACCAAAGCTTTTTTGGGGTGGGTGGGAGTGGAGTGTGCAAGTTAACTTGAACTGCATTCGCTGTCTTCGAAGAGATAGATTTAGAACATTTTTTAGAATTATTTATTTTATTTTATGTGTATGAATATTCTGTGAGCCATCACTTATTTTTTTGAGGAACTGAACCTGGGTCTTCTCTGTAAGACCAGCAAGTACACATAAGTGCTGAACCATTCCTCCAGCCCCCAGGAAAAAGATTCTTAATTTGTAAGGATTATTACACAAAATCAAGTCAGGATAAAAAGGCTTAAGAACTTTTTCTTTTCCAGTTAGGCAGGGTTCTCAGCCTGAAAGATGTCGGAGACATACTTGGAAGGGTGAATTCTTTCAAGATTGAGGCCAGGCTAGTTTTCAGTTTTACTTCTTTTTTGTTGTTTCTCAGTGCTCTTTTCTATAAGATTTTTACATAGTGAGTTCCAGGACAGCCAGAGCTACATAGTGAGATCCTGTCCCGGGAAAAACCAACCACAGTAAATCTAGATTACACTTACTTATTGGTGTGGTGGTGGTTAAGTGTGAGGTGTGGTGCATATGTGGAGGCTGGGAGACAATGTGCAGCAGTCAGCGCTCCACTTTCTCCAGGTAGGTCCTGGGAATTGAACTCAGGTCATCAGTCTCCCTGAGCCATCCTGCTGGTCCATTAAATTCAAGTATATATATATATATATATATATATATATATATATATATGTGTGTGTGTGTGTGTGTGTGTATTATATATACATATATGTGCATATACATGGATATGTGTATATTTATGTATATATATATACATACACTTTAATTGTAGAATGATTTCAAGTTATAGATTGGTACAAGAATCATACCAACAAGTCACTGAAACTTAACTTTTGCAAACTTCACATTATTATCATTCTATCTATATAAAAAATACTTTTTGAAACCCTTTTCAAGTAGGTGGTAAATATCATCCCTATTTACCCGACAAGAACAGGCTGCACCTCTCAGGAGAAAGAGTATTTTGTCTCATAAAATCATATAAATGATAAACCATACTGTAGTTTCTTTATAGCTCCCCCCAGCCACACCTTAGGGGCTTGTCCAGCATATCTTAACTGCTGTTATATTTTAACTACTGTTTTCCAATGAGGCTGACCTTTTCTGCTTATTAAAGTAACACGTTCATGGCAAATGATTTGGAAAGTGAAGACACACAGTTACCTTCTGAGGTTTCACTAAAAGGGCTGCTATCTCCGAAGTGACCACATTCACAATGGTCGTTATGTCATCTTTGAAGCGGTCAGAAAAACGAGTCCTCCGAAAGCTGTCACGTTTATCCAGGTTATGTACATACTGCGCCATGCTTTTCACCTACAGAGGGATGGGACAGTGTCAGCATGGGGATTGGTGACCTGCTTGTACAGTGTGCAAGAGGGGAATAAATGGTTTGCAGGAAATCTCTTTCACAGTGGACTTCTGAGACTTTCTTAGTGCTGGTGGTGCCCAAGTCAGCTCTGAACTACAAAATGCTTCTGACACACTGAAGGGTTGCCATGGTGCCTGGAGGTGGGCACTGTGTCCTCTCCTTGACCCCTGTTTCGGGGCTCCTTTCATGTTGCTGACAAAACCTGGAGCTTAGCTGTTTGGGCCTAGTGTCAGGAGACACCCCAGCCCCAACAGCCTACATCCTGGAAGACAGCGTGAGGCTGAGTTCTCAGGACCACGAGGCTGAGTTCTCAGAACTACACGTTGTTATAGTAGATAACACAAGACACACAAAGGAACTATTTTAAAATGCTGTCTGAACGTAAAGTCTTTTCTTTTCCCGAAACTACAGTAAGGAGAGCAGGAGAGAAATGTCTCTCCTATATTGAGTTTAAAATCAAACAACTGTTTTCCAGAAGCAATTTTATAGTTCACATCAAGTTAATTTCTGCTTCTAGAAATTAAAATTTAAGCCAGTCATTGGTGGCACATGCCTTTAATCCCAGCACTCAGGAGGCAGAGGCAGAGGCAGAGGCAGAGGCAGAGGCAGAGGCAGAGGCAGAGGCAGAGGCAGAGGCAGAGGCAGAGGCAGGGGGATCTTTGTGAGTTTGAGGCCAGCCTGGTCTACAGATAGGCTCCAAAGCTACACAGAGAAACATTGTCTTGAAAAACCAAAAAAAAAAAAAAAAAGAAATTAAATTTTAAACTATATTATAGGCTGATCAGGATTTTTGTTGGCTATCTAGAAATTTGATCGATATGTAGCACTCTGCCTCTGGAGGATGTCGATGTATGTTTTTTTGAGATGGTCTCATTATAAGGTTCATGTTCACTCAGCTTCTGGGGAGAATTATGTTTTAAATTTCTTAAGCCTAACTTATAGTCAATTAATCAATTAATCATTTAATAACTAGTATGATACTAGTTTAATGCCTACTATATTTTAAAATCTAGATCATGTAGAATTTTGGGGTTCTTCTTGGGCCAGAAGATCCCAGGGTCAATATATTCCTTCAAAATCATCAGAAGTTGAGCCTTACAGAGAGCTATTTGGGCAGTCTGACTGGAAAGGTTGGGGATGGTGGTTATTGCTGACTGTCAACTTGATGGGATAAAAAAATCACCCTGAGATAAGCCTCAGGCATGATTAGGTCAACTGGAGTCAGGAAGTCCTGTGGCTGTGAAGAGCACTGTTTCATGGCTGGTTTCCAGACAGAACAAAACGGAGAAAGTAAGGCTAGCAAGGTATTCATAACTGTCTACTTTCTGACCCCGGAGGCTGTGTCCTGCTGCCTCAGGCTCTGCCACCATGACCTCCCCGCCATGATGGACTGTGTCCTTGAACTGTGAGCCAAGATAAGTTCTTCCTTCCTTAATTTCCTTGGGATATTTTGTTGCAGAAAAAGGCAAAGTATCCACTACCCTGGGATTTCTTGTGGCTGTGGGCCAACATTGGGAAATCACGTTCATGAATTTGTACAGGAGAGTGTGAGAACCACTACACTACAGAAACACACATGTTCATGAATTTGTACAGGCTAGTCAGAGCATGATGGTAAAAGTAACTGTCAACTGGGCCTGGTGGCCCCTACCTGTAGCCCCAGCCCTGGTGGCTGTAGGAGAATTATTACCAGTGTCTGACTGCTCTACATATTGTGTTCCAGGTCAGTCAGGGCTAGCTAGTGAGACTTTGGCTCAAAACAAGCAAGCAGAAACAATTATCAACCAATCAGAAAACGAGCAAAAACAACAACAAACCAAACAAACAAAGCCCCAACCAAAACAAAAACAAAAAAAATTTTAAAAACCCAACAACAGAAGAGTGATTTTTCTGGAAGCTGACCCACCCACATTGGCCCCATCTGGAGTCTTAGAAGTTGGCTTCCACTCTGAAGAACAACACCAGACGGACCTTTCCTATACTAATGAGAGTCTGTTTCTGAAAACGTCAACCCAGTTAAGACTGAGACAAATAGGGTACAAGCACAGAGGAGGCAATGCAAGACGGAAGGGCAGAGCAGCCTTCCGACCCAGGTTTCACAGAATGCCCTGGCGAGCTCACACAGACCTGAGCATGCCAAACCCAATGGAAGAACATGGCTTCTCCTAACCCAAGGGCACTGTCCAAGCCTGGACACACAGACATATAGACACATCCATATTCCCAAAGACCCACACCTGCATGGTGAGAGGACCTGAATGAGCGGTGGGAACAAGACACCATTTCTTTTCTTTTCTTTTCTTTGGTTAGCAAAAGTATCTCTCTCACTACATCCCAGCCAAGGACCAGCGAGGACAAGGTTCCTTTGTTCAGGTGACCCCAATCCTGATCCTCTGCTGGCTAACCCAACCTAGCGCCAGGCTGTTGAACTCATTGTTGCAACGGCTTCTGCCTGCTGAGTTTGGCCATCCCACAGCCAAATAAATAATTCTCACAATGACGTCCTTCCCTCTGATGGCTTCTGTCCAGACTGTCAGCAACCTGCCAGCTCTTGGATCCCTGGCTTTCCACAGAAGAACCCAGAAGAAATATCAGTGGGGCTCAAGCTATCATTTGTAAGGGTTGATGAGATAGAAAAACATTTTCTTCCACATTTGCCTCTGTGGCCCATTCTGAGAACAGATACCTTTCAGAACCCCCTCGTGCAGAACAGCATGTCCAGAGGAACTGGGTCACCTAGTTACCTCCGGGCCTGCAAGGGCCGAATCAGTGGTTTCTAGCCACACAGTAGCTCATTCATTAAAATGTGTGAAATGCATGAGAACTAAATGTACCAGCTCCTGTGACAAAATTATTGCTCATTAGCACTGGTGGCCAGCACAGTGTCAAACTGCCCCTCTGCTGCCTAAGTCCTTGGGGGAGTTCTTCTTTTCAAGCTGAGCATCCGCCAGGTAACTATGCAACAATGCACGGAGGACTGAGGGTCCCCTCTGGGTCTGAGGTCAGTGATCTTCCCAGGTCCTCGACCACAGTCCCCACGTGGCTTCTTGCCCTTCTCCATCTGTGAGTGTTTACGCATCTGCACACTGCAGCAATGGTCCCTTTCCTTCCCTCCCTTTGGTTTCTGGTGGTAACGGTGAATGGGGGAGACTGTAGCTTGAGATCGATGGTGAAAGGTTTGGCTATTTGTCACTTCTACTGCTACAGAGTGTTCCTGTCATGCAGCCCCCCTTCTCTGCCTCTAGATTTCTCAATGCCCCCAACTGCTCTGTCCCCTCTCTGTGATTCTTCAGAATGAGGCTAGATAAGCAAAGGGTTCAGACAGCTGTTGCACCCCAAGTGCCTTACCAATCTCTGTTGGCTCCTGTAAGATTGCCAGCACCCTGGGTAGAGGCCTTGTGATAAATCCTCCTCAGCTGCCTGGACCCTGACAGAGTGGCCACCCCTGGGTAGTTGCTGTCTTGGTGGTCTGCATTTTGACCAACCCCATCTAAGTGCTTTCATCCACTCAAGCTTTTCTCGACTATATCATCTGTGCTGCATAAGGGGGTCCTAGAGTCAGAGGGGGGTTTTCACTGCAGAAGTCACTTTCTCTTGGGCCAAACAAGTCTTAGTAAGACTTATGCCAGATCAGAAGCAATTTTCACCTTTTCTGTGATTCTTCGTCCCTTGTAGTCACAGGCAATGGAGCAGTACCGCCAAAGCCCTAGACAGGCTTTTCCATTTAATATCATTTCACTCTGCATCTCCATTTAACAACATCAAAATAGCGCTGTGTTTGGGACAGAGGCTGGTAGTAGAATGCTTGCTTAGCATGCACCAGACCCCAAATATAATCCCGTTACCTCAATAAAAGGAGGGCATATGCTTATAATCCTTGTGGTAGGCTGTATGGGTGGGTGTGGTGAGTGCATGTGAGAGTGTGCTCGTGTGCATACACCCCACACACATGGAGCCTAAAGCAGGACTTTGGATGTCTTCTGCTGCTGCTCCCCACCTCATTACCTAGAGACTCTTACTGAACCTGAAGGTTGCAGATTTGGCTAGGCTGGCCAGCCAATGAGCTCTTTGGATTTATCCATCTCTGTCCTCCAATGCTGGGATGACAGACACATACAGCCATGTCTAATTTCATATGTGGGCCCCCGGGATTCGAACTCAGGTTCTCATCTTGAAGAGAAAGTGCTCTTACTGAGTCATCTCCTCCCCAGTCTCTGTTCTGAATGGTTTTTATGACAGAGTCTTTTCATGTCCATTAGTACTGAAATACAAGTATTAGTAATATTATTTTAAAATGGAGGAACTATACACGTACATTTCACTGTTCTGCTGGCAGCAGTGGTAGGGTAAACATATACACAGATTTCATACTCTTTACAACCAACGTTAGTGCAGTTGGTTATTGTCTGTATGATGTTAAACAGCTTGCCGAGGCTAAAGACAGAATAATGAAGACAGACCAAATCCTAGCAATCCAATAGGTGAGACGGAGAATCGATGACAGAGTGTGTAAAGTGCTAGTAAGGGGAAAAATGATAAATCAGAACGCCCATTACAGCATAAGGTGGCCCAGAAGGGCTCTACCTGCAGGTGGTGACATTTAAGGTGGAGTTAGAAGATGAGCAGGAAGCTGTTGGGGATAGGTAATAAGAAGTAGTTTGTGAGAGGGAATTATAAAAAAAAAAAAGGCCAGACCTGGTACTTTCCAGGAACTAAAGGGGGCACAATGTGGCTGAATGAGGGGTCCTGGCATGAGACAGAGGTACACATTTGGATTGTACAAGGACGTTTTAGTTATGATTTTCTTTTTTTTAAAAATGGCACTTTGATATTGAACTCAAGTTGGAAGAGGTGAGTCTGGTCTCAAAATGGAGGGCCATGATCCAAAGGAACCAGAACAGTTGAGGAAGCTGTTTATTGGTGGTCTGAGCTTTGAAACCACAGATGATAGCTTAAGAGAACATTTTAAGAAATGGGGCACACTCACCGACTGTGTGGTAATGAGAGACCCCCAAACAAACTGTTCCAGGGGCTTTGGTTTTGTGACCTACTCTTGTGTTAAAGAGGTGGATGCTGCGATGTGTGCTTGGCCACACAGGGTTGATGGGCGTGTGGTGGAACCAAAGAGAGCCGTTTCTAGAGAGGATTCTGTAAAGCCTGGTGCCCATTTAACAGTGAAGAAAATTTTTGTTGGTGGTATTAAAGAAGATACAGAAGAATATAATCTGAGAGACTACTTTGAAAAGTATGGCAAAATTGAAACCATAGAAGTTATGGAAGACAGGCAGAGTGGAAAAAAGAGTGGATTTGCTTTTGTAACTTTTGATGATCATGACACCGTTGATAAAATTGTTGTTCAGAAATACCACACTATTAGTGGGCATAATTGTGAAGTGAAAAAGGCCCTTTCTAAACAAGAGATGCAGTCTGCTGGATCACAGAGAGGTCACAGAGGTGGATCTGGCAATTTTATGGGTCATGGAGAAACTTTGGAGGTGGTGGAGGTAATTTTGGTTGTGGTGGAAACTTTGGTGGAAGAGGAGGCCATGGTGGTGGAGGTGGTGGCAGCAGAGGCAGTTACAGAGGTGGCAAGGGTGGATAGAATGGATTTGGAGGTGATGGTGGCAACTATGGTGGTGTCCTGGTTACAGTGGTAGAGGAGGCTAAGGTGGTGGTGGACCAGGATATGGAAACCAAGGTGGTGGGTGTGGTGGTGGTGGAGGATATGATGGTTACGATGAAGGAGGAAGTTTTGGTGGAGATAACTATGGTGGTAGCTGTGGATCTGGTGGTGAAGTGGCAGATATGGTAGCAGAAGGTTTTAAAAGAACATAGCAGAAAGGGGCTACAGTTTTTAGCAGGAGAGAGAGCGAGGAGTTGTCAGGAAAGCTGAGGTTACTTTGAGACAGTCGTCCTAAATGCATTAGAGGAACTGTAAAAATCTGCCACAGGAGGAACGATAATCCATAGTCAGAAAAGCTACTGCAGCTTAAACAGGAAACCCTTCTTGTTCAGGACGGCCATAACCACAGTCTGCAAAAAGTACAGCTACTGATCAATGCAATGTAGTGTCAATTAGATGTACACTCCTGGGGTCTTTTATCTGTTGTAGCTTTGTCTTTCTTTTTCTTTTCGTTACATCAGGTATATTGCCCTGTAAATTGTGGTAACAGGAATAAAAAATTAAGGAATTTTTAACTCTTCAATATTTGTTTGTTCAGTGTTTCTACATTTTAGTACAGAAACTTTAACAAAAATGCAGTTTTGAAGGTGTTTCCTTGTGAGTTAATAAGTAAAGAAGATCATTGTTAATTGCTATTTTATATGAATTTTGCTAAAGTTAACTGTAAAGAAGCACCTACTGACTTGCAATTTAAGGGGAATCTATTCTTCCCATTTCCAAAACCATGATGAGTGGACACTGACATGTGGAGAGAATCGATATTTGTATGTTTGCAATGTGTGTTTTAGATAATTAGGATTGGGTAATAAAAATTAGCATATTTGTGAATTTAATAGCATTTAGATTACTTTCAAATGAAAAAGATCTCAAAAGTTCCTATTTGGGTTTTGTGCATTTTTATTTCAAAATGTAATCATGATTTTAGTATGTTTCATTGAGTCCTAGCCGTGTTAAGAACATCTCTACTCCACATTTACCCTGATCACATTGAAACTGCTGCCAATAGTTTGGGGTATAAAGTGTTTATACCACACTCTACTGAAGGGTGGTGGGTATATTTCATATTCCAATTTAACAGTCTTTTAATACAGGGTCACTAAGTATGCTGTGTCTGAGCAAACTGGTAGATACCTGGTTCTGCTTTTCAAATTCGAAGTCCCAAAGTACATTATTATTCCTTGGTTTTTAGTCCTCCCCCACCCCCGTACAACTTTTCAGAGCAGAGGAATAAAAGTCACTCGTTTGAATCCCTAACTGGATGGCATGCTTTCCTGTTTTTACCCTTTCCATTTTGTTGGATGATGAAGCTGCAGATAGTTAAGGTGTCATTGTCCAAAAGGAAGCAGCAGAAAATGTAGCATAGTTGCTTTTTTTAGTGTGAGCACCTCACTTTCCAAAAGATCTGAATTCAAATTTGGATAGACCTGAATGCTTAAATCCCCAAAGAACACACGGTTATTCTTTGTATATATTTCATCCTAAAACATGTTGGTGTTTATTCAGAGACCTTGGTTAAGAAGAGTTCTAGATACTAAGGTCATATATATGAAAAATGTCTACTGTTGCGCCAGCTAGTGCTTACCAACTTCATTCAAGACCCAAAGTATGTGCTCTGCTGTTGCTTTCTTTGGCATTTGAACATTGAATTCAAAGTTTTTCTTGGTTTTTGAAGTATAAGCAAAACAAGCAATACAAAGGGGAATGGGGCGTGCTAGTGTTTGAATATGAAAACAATGGCACTTTAATTCTAGCATATGGAAGCCATGATGAGATTGGCTGCCTGGGGCAGGAGAGATGGGCTAGAGAAAAAAAACACAGGAGGAAGAAAAAGGAAGATACTGCAAGAGACACATGAGAAATGATGGTGGCCTGACCGGGGGGGGGGGGGAGCGTGATGAGATGCAAAAGTGGGGATGGATTTTCAAGGTGCAGTCGATAAAGTTCGGTGGGAGACAGATAGAGGGTGAAGGAGAATTGCATTTCAAGGAACAGTCCGAGCTTTACAGCCAGGTCCTGACACAGAGAACTGCCTTTCCCCCGTGTGCTTTGCTTGCCTGATGAGCAGAGATACAAATGCAAGAATCTCACCAGAAGTTCGAAGAAGAACCAGGCATACTTGAAGACGGTTTCTCTCACTAGTCCGGTGCTGACCACCATCTGCAGGGCGAGCTCCTCGTGAAAATGCTAAACAACAAACAAACAAAAACCAGGCTGTGATGGCAAGTATTACTCACTGGACCCCTTTTCCTTCTTTGCTAACATAACAGCTGGTTAGTTCCAGAAGCATGAATTCTGAACTTACCAGGCCATACGTGACAGGTGGTAACATCAGTGCTGAAACCACATTTGGGGAGGCAAAGGGTGCCACTGCACCACAGCCCCAGCCCTGGAATAACAGTTGCACTCTATGGGGAAGCCCTCCTGGGCAGTACTGGGAACTGGTGCTGTATGTCGGAGAGGAATGACCTTTGAAGTCCCACAAACCACGCAATGCTTTCCTCTCTCTACCCTTAGTTTGCTCAGCCACAGGACTCGTCTGTCGTTAGCAATGATCCTCAAGTTTGAACGTGAGTCAGAATCCCTTGGAGACTTAGTAACACTGAGCTAGCTGGTGCCACCCTTAGCGATTCTGATTCAGAAGGTCTGGAGCTAAGAATTTGCATTCTATCGAGTTTCCCAAGGGATGCTGGTACTGCTGGTCCTGAGCTACACTCTGAGAACCACTGTCTGGATGATATTCAAATGCCTTCTAGGCTGGACAATTTTTCTTTGCACAGTCCTACTATAGCTTCATGTGGGAGATGTGAAGGATGGGTTTATGAGTAGATCTCTGCATTAAAACACACATAATTTTTTTAAGCCGGATGGTGGTGGTGGTGGTGCATGCCTTTAATCCCAACATTCAGGAGGCAGAGGAAGGCATATCTCTGTGAGTTCAAGGTTAGCCTGGTCTACAAAGCTACACAGAGAAACCCTGTCTTGAAAAACCAAAGAAAAAAATTTTAAAGGACTGGATGTGGTGGTGTACATCTTAATTCCAGAATTCAGGAGACAGAGGCAGGTAGATCTCCGAATTTGAGGCTAACATAGTCTACATAGTGAGTTTCAGACCAGGTGGGAATACATAGTGAGTCCCTGTCTCAAAACAAAATAAAAGAGGGCAGAGACAGTGGTCTGTGTGGGGAGGGGATGACATCCCGAGTGAATGGGTATTTTTGACAAGAGCACAACCATGTCAAGGAACCCAATGCCTCAGACCTATATGGAACAGTAAGACCTCCCCCTGGTCCAAGCACTGATGTTGTCAGTGTGTGCAGAAAGTACCAACTACAGTTTTGTCCTCCCTGAGACTGCTTCCTCACAGAGATTCCCTACCACACTTAACTAACCAGCCTCCTCCTCCAGCTTATATAACAAATACACGGAGTCTCCAGGCTGCTAGTGTGTCTCCATTAGAACCTACAGCCCACTGGATGCCAGCTTTCCTGTACACATGTCTGTTGTTCCTTCAGTGAGGTCAGTCCTAATGCCATGCAGGTCATGGCAACCCTGACCTCTAAAGATTTCTAAAGTCCTGTGTCCCAGATGCAGATGTTCGAAGACTCACTCAGAGCTCTATTATGCCGTTTTGTCCCATCCAGTTTCCTGACTGCTCTGTAGCAAACGTTACACAGACAGTACATTTTAACTTTCTCATTTTCCCATTCTTCAACCTAACTGGGTACTTGTTTATTCTCCCGACAATCATTTTGAAGAGGAAGAAGTTGAGGATCAAAAGGAAGGCTAATAACTCATCTTGGTTTGCTTGGTACTTTTCTGCTCCCAAAATTCAAAGACCCTCCTGGTGGGGACGTTCTCAGTCCTGGACAAATCAAGACAGTGCCATACCAACTAAATGCAGAAGCAATGGCCAGAATTCTCTGTGGTTTTCGCTCATCTTATATATACATACAAAGCCGAGAAGTAACCCAGATAGACTCTTGTTTCTCAGTGGCTAGGAGAGTGAAAACTGTTTCAACACTTAAAATATGGCATCTTTACACGGAAGTAGCAAAAACTGGTTGTAACAATGGCTGCTCATCACAAACTTTCAAATGACCCACAGGATAGCATGCACACAATGGATTTTACTTGACAGTAAATGTTTTACAGGTATTCAGATGTGAGGGCTACTTATCCAAAGGAGACAAGTGGAAAAATCTCTGAGCAGACGTCAGAGTGTTCTATTCCGCCCCTCACCCACTGTCAGTTCAATTCACCCACCGTTTCCCCGTTCTACCAGGTGGATTAAACCTTAGCAATCTTAACACATGGGAGCACCTTTGCTTGCTGATGTGAGTCTGAGCCCTTGCCATCTGGGAAAGGTGGGGTTTGCGTGAACTCTGCTGTTGCCAACTGTGCACGTGATAACATGCTACACGTCCATCCTCCCGTGGGAAGAAAGATGCTCTGCCAGCCTCGGAGTTAGCTGCTAGAAATAGGTCAGCCTGTCTGCCAGAGTCTTATGGCAGGAAGAGATTAGACAGGGATAAGCTGCTTCTTAATGTCATTTTATGTTGCTTACTGGACAGTGTTATTGTAAGAACACCTTGCTCCAGAGGTTATAGAAGACAGCCAAGCAGCAAAGCCCTGTTTGCTGAGCTATAAAGGCAACACGCTGGCTAAGCTACCCTCTGAAATGAAACTGCCTCCCTTCCAGTCATTCCAGGTCAAAGCAAGCCAACTGCAAAACCAAACAGGATATGCACTAAGGAAGTCAGCCTTTAGGCCAGTATGTTGACTGTTTCAGGTTTTTATTTTATTTATTGTTATTTATTTATTTGAGACAGGAGTCACTATATATCTCTGGTTTACTAGAACATTCTATGTAGATCAGGCTGGTCTTGAACTCACAGAGATCACTCTGCCTCTACCTAGTGCTAGGGGTTAAGGGCTGTGCCACCGTGCTCAACCTTAAATAATATAGTTTTTTAAAGGAAAGCAGAACTTGGAACTCGTGGCTGTGACAGCCTAATGCTAAACTTTGGGGTAGGTGATAAGTCAGTTTTGGGCCTAACCATACATTCTTTTCCTCTCATAGTTAATTTCTGAATGTCTTGCTGACATCTGGTGCCTGGATTACTGCAGAGTCTACCACATCAGGCCCAGTGGCACCTTCCATTCCCTACCCTTCACTCCTCCATCCTGAGGCTCATGCTTTCCCTGCCTGTGTAATAAAATCTTCCTGTGCTGTTAGTGATTTCATAACAGCTGTGTGTGTAACAGCAGTTAGTGCATCTGTACTTAAATAAGGATCTTGTGAGATAATCATGACCTCAACTTAAGTAGCTTCCACTCTTGGGTGCTGTGCCTAGCAGAGAACACTTGACAGACCACTGGTTTCACGGCTCACATCTCTCTCGACCATATCCACTGTGCTGACTGGGGATTTCAGTTGGTTTCAGGAATTCCCTACTTTGCATGGCTTCTGATTTCAGAGTTAAGGCTGATTATAGATCATCAAGAGGAATCACTGAGATTGTTTCATACTGCACTTGGTCTCAGCCAAGATCGTTTGGTCAAGAAGACATGTGACTTCATATAGTATTGAAATAATATCTATTTTTGCCATTTGCTTTTGTCAAAGATGAATTTTCAACAGCTTACCTTCTCCTAAAAAAGAAGTGAACACAGTGGTTCTCATAGCTGGATATTTAAATCAGCACCAGCTCTGGTAACTTGTTCGAAATCTAAGTTCTTAGGACATGGCTCAGATGTACTGACTTAGAAACAATGGAGAAAGGGCCCACAAAACAGTTTACAAAACCCTCCAGGTAATTCAGATGCATGGTTAAATTGAAGAACCACTGAGTTACTGAAAAGTTAAAATGTAAAATGGTAAAAACGAAGAGACAAGACTCAGCATGTGTGCACACACGCACGCACACACACACACGTGCATTGTTAGCTGGGCAGGAAACCAGGGCAGAGAGCACTTCATTTATATTTTCAGCAGTAACATGAAGACACAGGTGAGTCCTTTCTCATGCTGGATTTATCCTCACACCACTCTGTCTGTACCTTTTTGCTGACCGGTCTTGGGGCTGCAGTGGAACCTGGAACATCATTATTGCCAGAGCCATAGTAAGACATCCGGCTGCAGTTTCGATCAGCAATCTGAAACACATAAATCATGACCCACTGTCAACTGATAGTGACACACTGGAAGAACAAAGTGGCTCAGAATTCGTTTTTATTATATGTCCTTTGCTGTAATAGAACCAAAATAATGGCCACATATAAATACAAAACAAAGCAAAGAAAGTAAATTAATTTCACGTGCTCCTGAGATAATCACTGTTAATAGTTTAGTGTGTAGTGATATAGGGTAAAAATGTAGTTTAGACACAGGAACTACGCATCAACCACTGGGATTCCCCTAGGGATAAAGCAGGATGTTTGGAGAGCAGCCATCCTACAAGGATGGTGACAAAAAACAAACAAACAAAAACCCAACAAACAAACAGCAACAACAAAAGAAAGAAAAAATACTTAAACACAGCAGGAAACAGTTCAGAGGTCATTCTGGAAGTGCTCCTGACTGGGGAGGGTTCTAATCCCAAAGCAGAGAGAGACACAGAGCAACACAGTGGACAGGAACCTGAGGTTAAGATGGAGAGAGCCCTGGGAAACTCTTTTATATTCTTATGTACCAGATAATTTGAGAGAGAGAGACAGAGACAGAAACAGAGAGAGAGAGAGAGAGAGAGAGAGAGAGAGAGAGAGAGAGAGAGAGAGAGAGAGAGAGAGAGAGAGACAGACAGACAGACAGACAGAAAGGGAGAGAAAGGCAGGGAGGGAGAGGTAGAGAGAGGAAGGGAGGGAGGGAATGATTATGTATTTGCAAAGAGGAGAGATGGAGCTCAAAGAAGGAGGACACTCAAACCTTAGATTCAAACAGCATAACCCACATGGGACAAACCACTGAGGAGACATGCAGTCCAGACAGAAATCATGTGGTCTGTACAACAACCAGGTGCTAGGAAATCCCCTGTTCTCCAGCCTGACAGGAGCAGTGCCAAGGACGTTTTAAACAGACCCCTGTGAGTCAGTGGCAAGGGGCCTTTAGAGGTCAAGGCCTTCCCTGCACAGCTACCTCTGAAGACTCCAAACTACGCAGCGTTCTACATGGAAGGAATTCCACAGCTGCAGTGAGACTCATTTGCTCCCCAGGAGTGGACAAGCAGTGTGTGAAGACCAAGATTCAATGTCAGGAAAAGAGGAGGGTCACGGGAGGCTTCAGCTGAAGGGACTGTGGCACATAAGATGTACTTTCTTCATAAATGCTGCGGCCGCTGCCCACGGGCACCCATGCACATCTTGAGGAACAGCGGCCATGCATGGGCAGGCACAGGAACAAAGGTAAACCCTGCATAGGGGCCACGTGAAGGCAGGCACACAGGCTTATAGACAGACACACACAGGCAGGCTAGAGAAGGCAAAGGCGAAAGGGAAGGCCTATGACCTCAAGGCCACGTTTACACAGAATGACACCAAAGTGGCTGAAAAGAGTTATAGAGTGGATGACACCATCATTTACCTTTGGGTTCCCTGGACATCTGGTGCCAGTCATTTTGTGCCGACTCACAGTCCCCAAGATGTTCAGGGTTAGCTATCTCGGTTTATGGTGGCTATCCTTATCAGTACCTTGTTGTCTAAAATAAACTGGCCTGTATTATGCTTTGTTCCCAGCATAGTGGCAAATCCTTAAAGGTACTAGGGTTCACGCCAGTACAAAGCCTGGTGACAGTCCCTTCTAGTATCTACAGACTGTTGGTTGTGTTACAAACAACAAAAAGATCAATGTAGGAAGCACATAATACCACAAAGTCCCTGCAATCAACTGAAGCTCAAACCCAAATAGTCAGAGAAGGAACACAGAGATGGTATTAACCCTGCGCTCAAACAACTGACTACACATATGTACTCTGCACCTGCTTCAGGCATGTGAACACAGATACACAACATACACAGACACAATCTGCACTCAATCACACAAAGACCATTTGTTCCTGTGCTGTAGATTGTGCTTGGCATCCTAAACATGCATTCTGAGGATGTGATTTAACCACAAAGCCATAGCCCCAGTCTGGTGGGAAGGAAAGCACTCAGTACTATTAAAATCCAGCCTGCCTGATAGTGGAATATTTCAAATAAAACAGATTATCAGCAAATCCAACCAATGACTTAATCCCTTATGTACAAGTCTCACTGTAGAAACATGAGAGAATTGAAAATTCAAAGCAACATTACTCCTCCAATAATGACCTGTTATGTAGCAATGGATTCCAATGAAATCCCAGACTAAGAATTTAAAAGGTCATATGTGGTGGCACAGCTCACTGCATTCCCCAAAGTTAATCTTCATAATTGAAGAAGAAAGAAAAACTTTCAATGACAAGCACAAACTACAGAAATTTCATGCCCACTAACTTAGCACACAACAAAGAGAAAGATATAAACATACTTATGAGGCCATATGAAAAGAATAAAGTAATTTACTAGAATAGTAAATAAGCAAATGTGGGATAGGAGACTAATACTAAGTACAGAAACAACAGAATTGCAATCATTAATGTATAACTTTAAATAACTCTAAATGTTAATTATCTAAATTCTCCAATGAAAAGACAATGACTATCCAATTACATTTAAAATCAAAACCTATTTGATTCCTTACATGGCAACTTCAAAGTGACTTTCATAGCCTTAGGGTGAAAGCATGGGGGGGAAATGATTATAAGCAAATGGAACTAGAAAGCAGGCAGGGGTAACTCTACCAATATCCAACAAAACAGACCTTAAACCAAATAAGTAAAGAGAAACAAAGAAGACAGGTAATAGTGCATGCCTTTAATCCCAGCACTTAGGAGGCAGAGACAGGTAGATTTCTGAGTTTGAGGCCAGCTTGGTTTACAGTGAATTCCAGGACTGTCAGGGCTACACAGAGAAACCCTGTCTCAAAATAACCAAAAAAGGGGAAGAAGTAATAAAGAAGGTGACTTCATGCTGATTAAGGAAACAATTTATCAAGAAAAATTACAATTACAAACATATGTACTAAAAATTAGCACACCCAATTTCATGAAACAAAGTCCACTGTATTTAAAGGGACAGATCTGAACTAAATACAACAATAGTAAGTAACGTCAAAACCCCTCTTACCAATAAACAGGCCATTCAGACAAAACAAAACAAAAACAAAAAACTAACAGAAATGCCAGCATTAATTCACATCATAAATCTACAGACTTGACATATGTCCACAGAATTCACGCAAAATGCAGAATACACCTTCGTCTCCATTGCCCACATAACTTTCTCTAAAATAGAACACATTGCCAACAATGCAAAACAAGTCTTAGGAACTAAAAGTAAATTAAAGTGGAAGAGAACTAGAAATCAATAACAAGAGAAATTACAGAAAATATACAAACTACCAGAGATTGAATAACACTTTATTGAATGATGAATATGACACTAAAGTTATTAGGAGGAAGGGGTTGAGAACATGGTTCTGTGGAGATAGTTCCATGGGCAAAAGTCTCTGCTGTACAAACTGGACATCCTGAGTTTGCTCACCAGAACCTACTTAAGAGCAAAGGGAGAGAACTGATTCTACAAAGTTGTCCTATGTCCTCCATATGAATTCTACACCACACACACACACACACACACACACACACACACACACACACACACACACACACACAAAAATAATACATTTTAAAAACTTTTCCTAACTCAGATAAATATTGAATAACTTGGTAATGTACCTCAAAGTCTTAGATTAGAAAAATAAGAACAAGTCAAATTTCCAATTAGTAGATACATCCCCCATCCCCCTTGATCTTCCGGGCCGCTTCTGGCATCCAGAAGACCCGCCCACACAGGAAAGACATCAGCCCCTCCAAGACCCCAACCCCATCGAGTCCAGCTTCAGGTGAGATTGGGTCTCTGGCGGGGACCGCCTGCCCATTCCCCATCCCCCTTGATCTTCCGGGCCGCTTCTGGCATCCAGAAGACCCGCCCACACAGGAAAGACATCAGCCCCTCCAAGACCCCAACCCCAGCGAGTCCAGCTTCAGGAAAGACATCAGCCCTTCCAAGACCCCAACCCCAGCAAGTACAGCTTCAGGAGACCTGCCCACACAGCAAAGAAGTCAACAATTCCAAGACCCCCAACCCCAGTGAGACGAGCTTCAGGAAAGACATCAGCCCTACCAGGACCCAAACTCCGTGTCAGCATCCCCAGCTTCAGCTGCAGGAAGGAAGAAGACCAGTGGAGACGGAAAGACCCCACCAGCACCCACTGAAAGAAGAGATGGGAAGAAGATAGAATAAGAGATCACTCAGCAATAGAAACACCAACATGACCCCACCAGAATCCAAGGATCCAACACCAGCAAGACCCGAAAAGCACTACATAGACAAAGAAGAGGAGACAGACCTTAAAAATTATTTCATGGAGATGATGGAGACCCTCAAAGAAGAAACGAGGAAATCCCTTAAAGAAATAGAAAAAAAAATCCATGAAATGGGGGAAAAATTTCAAGAAATAAACAAATCTCTCAAAGAATCTAAAGAGCACCAAGAAAGAACAACCAAAAAAATTAAGGAAACAACTCAAACAGTTGAAGGATTGAAAGCTGAAATAGAAACGATAAAGAAAACACAGAATGAAGGGATGCTGGAAATAGAAAAGCTGGGTAAACGATCAGGAACTACAGACGCAAGTATCACCAATAGAATACAAGAGATAGAAGAGAGAATCTCAGGTGTTGAAGACTCATTAGAGGATATAGAGTCGTCAACCAAAGAAAATCTCAAAACCAACAAATCCTTAACACAAAATATCCAGGAAATATGGGACACCGTGAAGAAGCCAAACCTGAGAATAATAGGTATAGAAGAAGGTGAAGAAATTCAACTTAAAGGTACAGAAAACATATTCAACAAAATCATAGAAGAAAACTTCCCTAACCTAAAGAAAGATATGCCTATGCAAGTACAAGAATCGTACAGAACACCAAATAGGCTCGACCACAAAAAGAAGTCACCTCGCCATATAATAATCAAAACATCAAACCTACAGAGTAAAGAGAAAATATTAAGAG